AAAAGCACTCTTACTCTGGGACTTACCGCCCAGCAGATCCTCTATTCAGCTAACTACAGGAAAGGTCCTCACCGGCCTTTTTCGCAATTTGTGTGACCCGTTCACCTCGTATCCAATGGCTAATCCCACAGAACAGCAGACGTTTCAGCAGATCCAGATCATGACGACTCGGAGGCGCCATGAGCATGAGTTTGCGACCATGTTACGGCGCCATCGGAATGAGCTCGCTGCAGCCACAGTATGACCCTAGACCCTACGGATGGCCGTGCGTCAATATTCCCTCCGTGTGTTTTGTGGCCGGCTCAGAATCAGATCATGCAGGGCGGCAGCCCGGCTCAGCAGGCACAGAATGAGATGCAGACACAGGTGAGGGAGGAACAAGGAATGCAGGGGACCTCGGCTGCATCTTTGTCGTGTGTGGTGTCGTCTTAGGCTTTTCACCAGGTGACCAACCAACCCACACGTCTGCGAAGCAGCAGGGAAGGCGCACGTATGCCTGTATGTATGTGTTGCGTGTCTCCTTCTGTGTTGTTGTCTGCAGGCTGTGGTTGGCTCCAATGGCAGCTTGTCTCAGCCGCGACACCCTCCACGAAGTGCACCGGTCAGCGAAGCAACAAGGGCAGTGGGCGGGGAGGGAATACGCGCAGCCACGTGGGTGTTGCGTGTATCTTCCCCTTTCTGTGTGTGTTGTTTGTCTGCAGACCTATGGTTTCAGCAGATCGATGAACGGTTCAAACAACTCGATACCCACTGCGCAGGTCAGCGAAACAGCAAGGGAAACCGTCCAAATCAAACCGTCCTTTTGTTTGCTCCTGCCCTGCTGCCGCGAGTGAGTGCCCTTTTCTCATACGCGTATCGATCTGCCATATCAGACAGACTGAGGGAGGAGGAGGCAATCAATGCTGTCGGGGTTTTCACCACACAGTATGGAAGAGAGCCTCTGTGTGTATGGGATGGGCTGGGGAGGGATGGGTGTGTGTGCTGTTCATAGCGAGAGAGGGAGGGGATAGCGCTCTGGCCCGTGAGAGGGTCGTGGACACGCAAACAGACAGACAAACAGACAGACAGACTTGAGACGAACGCATCATTCCTGAGCACCATTCAATTGCACACGTGGCCTTATTCATGGTCCGGTCAAAATGTTCTCTCCACCACCGCACCGCCCGCCTCGCTGCTGCTCTAGGCACTGCACACGCCGCTCCTCGAGATGTTGGCTACGACACTCGAGAGGCGGCGTCCACACCACATAGCTAAGCAGCAAGATGGGTGCAGACATACGGCCAACGACATCCAATCAGTACCAGCCAAGAGAAAGAAAAGGGCACCACCGACACCACACTCGGGCAGCGACGCTGTCTATCGATCAGTCGTGGTGATCGGCAGGGCCTTTGGTCGCGTCCCCTCCCCATGACGGGGGGTACCACTTGGGGAAGACGCGCTTGTACAGGTACATGCACACCTGCACACACACACACACACACACGTGTGCTTGTCTTGATGGCTGAGTGCCTGGCACACGCACTGCGAATCCGTACCGTGTCAGATTGGTCGAGCCGTGAGCTGAATCGGCACTTCATGTAGCCGTGTGTGCCGAGGGGCTCGCTGATGTGCCCCCGCAAGCCCTTCTTAGTGTGCAGCTCAACTGGCTTGAACCACCTGACACACACACGACCACACTCAAGTGAGGGGCTGGGCTGCCATGGGTTGGGTAGGGTTGTGTGGCTCACTCACTTGACGTCGTCAGGATCGAAGAACATGTACCTCACGACGGCCTTGGTCTTGTGCACTCGGAAGGGGTAGCCCGTCAGGACGATGCGCTTGATGAGCAGCCGATTGGGGTTGGCCGCCATCACGCTGCCCCACGCACACAAACGGCTCTCACCTGACACAGACACACAGACAGACGTATGGATGGATGGATGGTCGCTCCTCTTCTGTCCGTTGCCCCAGTGACTGACCGTCTTGTGTCATTCTGAACATGAGTGCCGGCGATGGCGTGAATATGGTGGGCGCGTAGAGGGATGCGACGCACGTGGTGCCGGGGTGCATGAACCGCTCGTACTTGAACTTGTCCTGGCTGTGCTTCTGCACATGCTGGCTGAACGCCGGCCGGCCGGGGAACCTGAGTGACCGATCCACCCCATCCACACAAGCACATCCCATCCATCTCATCGGCCCCCCCACGTCGGTCTCTGTCTGACCTTCTGAAGCCGCAATGAAGCTCCACAGTCTCCTTTGAAGGCAGCGGCTGCGGCCCGCCACTGCTGCTGCTGCCATCCTTAGGTGGCTCGTTCACCGCCCCATCGACCCGCGTGAGGGACATGTGGAGCACGCTCACCTTCCGCTCATAGCCGAACAGAGACGACACTATCAGCGGGAAATCAGACGGATGTGACGCGAGCACCGACGCCGGCACGTTCCTCAGGTAGATGCAGCAGTAGAGGCCGCTGATGCCGCCACCGCCCCAGCCACCCACCAGGCTGCAGTCTGCCCTGAAGTGGCGTTTGTTGGAGCGCATGGTGGCTTTGATGGCCTCGAAGTCGTGGATGCGGGAGTACTCGATGGGCAGCTTTTCGTAGGGGTCCCACGCCGATGTGCGGAAGCTCTTCAGCCCACGATACTTCTGAAACCTGCAGGCAGGCAGGCAGGCAGGACTTGTGTGGTGTGTGGTGGGTGGTGGGTGAGTGGTGTGGGTGTATGAAGTTGACCGACTCACCTGTGTCTGGCGGTCTGGTCGGCTGGCGTGTCGACCTCATCGGGAAACATCATGTCCTCTCTGCTGCGTTCCTCCATCTGAATCTGCCTCAGCCTGGCCCGCTCGGCCTGCATGTCCTCGTCGGTCTCCTCGGGCATCGCCAAGCTGCTGTAGGCGTCGGATGGATCGTCGCCCTCATCCCACTCAGCCTCATGCTCGTGATGCGCGTCATCATCATGCTCGTCGGCGTGTTCTTGGTCGACATTCTGCTCGTCGTTGTCGTCGATCATGTCGTCGAATTCGCCCCCATTTTCATCTTCCTCGCGGACGGGGGCGCCAATCCTGTGTGCCTTGTGGCTCTTCATAGCCTTCTCGGCGGCAGCCATCTCCTGAAAGCGATGAGACGACAGACAAGCGTGTGAGTGGTGTTGGCGTGTGCCTGCGTGGATGCTGCACCTGGTCTGTCGGCCACGTCTGCTCGCCGGCAAAGGGGTCGTACGGCCGCAGACACTTCCACTCCTCATCGAGGCCTGAAGACAACCAGAGCGCGCCTTGCCCCCCGTCTGTCTGTCTGTCTGTCCGTCTGTATCCCTCACTGACTCACACACCTGCCGCGATCTCCGGCGTCATCTGCTCGAGGATCTCGGTGCCGCCGCCTGCTCCTGCATCGGTATCGACCGCCATGCCGCCCTCCTTGTGTCGCTCTTGTCTGCGGGTGGTGCCCTGTGTGGGGCATGGGTCGGGGAGCTTGACGATCTTCTCCAGCTGGAAGTCCCCATGGCCCGTCAAATGAACCGGATGCCTGACGATGATCACACACACAACACAGACATGGCGTGACACCGGTGCCACCAGGAAGGGAAGGAATGCAGCACGCGTCGTACGTCGTACCTGACGGTGAACCCGACTCCCCTGACGTAGCCGGCGATGGCCAGGGTCTGTGTGGCTGCGTCGTACTCGACCTGGTTGCTCATGAGGTAGCCCCGGTCCTCCCGGAACTTGAGCGGCTTGGGGGTGACGTTGGCCAGATGCCGCAGCAGATTGCGCACATCCTGATCACTGTCGACGTCAAACAGCTTCCTGACCACACCAAGACGCCCATACACACATGTCAGTCGGTTGCTCCCTCCCTCCCTCCCTCCCTCACTTGTCGTCGCCGAATTCCGAGTGGAAGTATCTCGTGACGAACCGCTTGTTCTCGGCCACCTTCTTGGCCGACCACATCAGCTGCCCCACGCCACCCATCACACCAACAGGCGGCGGCAAACCCTGCAGCCGCAACGCCGACAAAGCCTCGTACCCATCCTCATCGAACGCCGGTCTCTCAAGCGACCCCTGGCAGAATGCGGCAACGATCACGTCGGCACACTTGGCCACGTCGAGGGCGGCATAAAGGGCGGGGGGTGGGTCGATGATTGTGATGCGCTGCTTCTTGCTCTCCCCAGGGACGGTCGGCTGGGCCCACGTCGGCAGCAGGACGGTGACCGGCTTGTGGGGAGCGACATTGTCGAGGTCAGACACCTCACACGCCTCGAGGATGCGCCGCTTCATCGCCAGAGCATCGGCCGACCGGTGGAAGGGCAGCAGCATGACGATCTTGGGCGGAGGAGCCACAGCCGACGACGCCGCGCCCATCCGCTTGTGCTCGAGGATCTCCTGCCGCTTCTTCTCCCTGGCTTGCTTGGACATGTTGAGCCGGTCTTGCTTGGAAGCGGTGGGCATGGCCGTGCTCTTGACGGGCGTCCGCTTGGCGGTCCTGCCCTTCTTGTTGGCTGGGGTGGACGAGGAGCCCTTGAACGGCTTGTTTCGCTGCTTGAGGGAGGCACGGTGGGAGTGATGTGACTGCTGCTGCATGATCAAATCAACGATGAATGATGAAAGATCACGGACGTATCTGCGTCCACTTCCAAGATCCTGACGCCGGGGAACGAGGGATTGCCTGGTAGAAGTGTCAAGCCCATCGTTTGCAAGGGTTACAGGGTTAGGGTTTGGCTAAGCTCGCAACAGGGAGTGGAAGGACGCACCGTGCCATTCCTGTGCTTGCTACAGGTGCCTAGCTTGTTGTGTCACGTTCTGGCGCGTTCTATGGGGATGGATGGATGGATGGGTGGATGGGTGGATGGGTGGATGGGTGGATGGGACTGCCGAGGAGGGCAGCTCACATGCACACAATGAATGGACTCCCCACCACGCCTCTCTACTGTGCCTCTCGTCTGTGTGTGTGCGTTTGCCAGGTCGCGGAAAGGGCGCCTGCGTTCGCACCCCGCTGCCTTGGCCATTTCGGCTGGGTTGGCTGCAATGGGGATACCGAGCCACTGCAGCTGGTTGGCTGCGGTGGGACCGTCCGTGCACAAGTGCGCTAGATACCCCAACACACGTCATATCTCACACGTGACCAGGCCATGGAGGCCATCTAACTCACTAAGCCATATGCCTTGTGTTCTTTGTGTTGGTGTGTGGTGTTCAGGTGTGCCTGGGCGGTTGCAGCGTGTAGACAACTCGTGTTGGTCCCGAGAGAGGGCTGCACGAGACGACTGTGGTGATCAGAAACCACCCAGTCACAGACCATTCCGTGGGTGGTCTGGTCTGGACCGATGAAGGCGAGTCATCGGATGCAACAAGAGTGCGGAAGCTGGTGAAGCGGTCCGTTCGCTAGCGATGTCCTCACTGGAAATGAATCCCAGGACCTGTGCCGCCACCCCACCCGACACGCGGTGGTCAAGTCGTCCCCGTTGCCCCCACTGCCAGCCCTTCTCTCTCTCGCAACTCTCTCGCCTAGACTGCACTGCACTGCACCGAAGCAACATGGTATGCACAGCACAGCCGCCGACACGACACACACACGTGCTCTCTCTCTCTCTCTCTCTCTGTGTGTGTGTGTGTGTGTGTGTGTGTTTGTGTGTGTGTGTGGCTCAGTGCCTTGATGGAGGTTGTGTTCAGGACTTCGGGACAGGGATCTACGAGTGCCGCCATCCGCAGACTGTGTGGTGAGCGAAAGGGACGGAGGAATGTGTGTGTGTGTGTGTGTGAGCTGCCCTCCTCGTCCCTTCGTACTTGTCGTGTGTGGTGCACCGATGTGTGTGGGTGTGGCTGTGCGTGGCGGTTGCATGCGAGAAGGACTTTCTGACGCATGTGTATTCGGGTCAACAAGCGGTTGTGAGATAGAAAGAGCTTCGGGGATTAGGAGTCGCAACCAACCTGGGCAGAAAGGCGAATCAGTCAAGCTGTACAGCCCCAAAGGTCCGCCCATATCCAGAGCAGCCCCCACGTACCACAACCCCACCCCATACAGCACCACATACACACATAGACAGGATTCAAAATCGCCCGCATGCACATCACCCTTCGGGAGAGAGCCACGCAGGCAGACGTACAGACGTCATTTGCTTCGTTCGCAAAGCACAAAACTCACTCACACTCAGTTTAAACACACGCCCATCAAGCCATCCATCCATCAGGCCATCCACACGCACCCATCCCTATCCTACACCCACCGAAGCCACCCGGTTGGTTGACCGGATTGGATGGGCTAGTTTAGTTGGGCCCGATGGACTGCTCCGCCTGCGCGCTGACGAGAGGGATCTGGTCGGGCAGCTCGCCGATGACGTTGGAAATGAACGAGTAGATGATGCACCCGCCGATGAAGAAGAACAAAAAGTTGGTCAGGGCTATCTTGACGGGCAGGTAGGTCACCAGGCCAAGGACGAAGTTGCCCGCGATCTCGTAGATGTTGAGCAGCAAAGCCTGCTGCATCGAGAAACGCACAAACCTGCCACGGCCACAGCCACAGCCACAGGGAGAGAGAGAGAGAGAGAGAGAGAGTTTTAGGAGGCCGTCCATCGGCCGAACGTTCCCGTGTGCCCACCTGCCCACCTGCTGAAGTTGGGCTGGAACGACCCGATGGGTTGGTTCCTCGAGAGAATGCTGAGTGCGATGAAGATGATGAAGGAGACGAAGGGGGCGCTGTACAGCGGCATGAAGGGACCCGTCAGGGTGAAGAAGATCTGACCCGCAACTGGGAACTTCAGAAACACAAACCTGCTCAACAGATGAGGAGGACGACATCAACCACAGCCATGCCGCCTCCCCCCCTCTCCCTCTCTCTCTCTCCCCTTCTCTCTCTCTCTGCGTGTGTGCGTGTGTGTGTGCTTGTGCTTACGAAGCGAAGCTCCTGAGGTCGAGTGTTGGCAGGATGTAAGGGACACATGCGACCAGTCTATCCCGCGCACCCACACTGTACTTGCTCATGCTCAGCTCCCCCCTCGCCCTGCAAGGATGGACGTCCTTGGCCACAGGCACGACCACCGGCGACAGAGGCAGCGGAGCCTCTCTCGCCCTGCTGACGATGTGTTGCCGCGGCACCCCTGCGGCAGATCTGGCCAACGGAGCGACGAAGGCCTGTCAGCAGTCAACCGTGTGAAGTGTTTGAGTGGCCAGACGATGGATGGATGCTTCTCTATGGACAACGTACCTGCGGCCCTCCACGGACAGTCGCCGCCAGATGGCACTGAGTATTGAGGAAGACAGTGACTATCCATGCCCAGCACAGCCGCGTGGAGAAGGCTGCTGCTTGCCTCCTTTCTCGCATTTTGTCCTCAGCAAAAATGCGAGCTTGTCTGCGAGCTCAAAATGCATCCCATTCCCTGCGAAAGCTATCACCCCCAGCGTTGCTTAGTAGATCTTGAGATGGAATGATAGGCTTGTTTTCCTCCCTCGAGCTGGACAAGAAAGCGGCGGAGATGAACCTCTCTTCCGCCTTCAGCCAAGAGAACCTCGAGAAGGTGAAGGGCCGAGGACTCTCCTTCCTCACCCAAGTGGCCACGACCGTCAAGACCGGCGTAGAGCGGGGCATCAAGGAGGGCAAAGACATCGCCACCGACGTCGCCAAGGACTTCAAGCAGGGCCTGGCCAACATCGACGTGTCCACGCCCTTCAAGCCAGGCACGGCCTTGCCCCGCGGCTCCCTGCCCTGGGGCCGGTTCGAGGAGCAGTATGAGGTGGTGGTCAAGGACAGGGTGCTGCAGCTGACGGAGAGCCACGACGTGTTCATGCTGTCGGCGCCGCCCTCGTTTGCCTTCCAGATGAAGGAGCACATCGGAACGGCTCACGAGATGCTCGAGGAGGACCCGCGGCTGGACAGGGCGCGGTTTGAGCTGGTCCCCAAGCGCATCAAGGAGGACCAGTTCTGGCGCAACTACTTCTGGCGTGTCGAGCAGGTCAGTCACATGCACACACACACACACACACACACACACACACAGAGCACACATGGCCGTCGTTGCAGCTGCACCTTGTGGTCTTTCTGCGTGTGTTCAGGTGGTTGAGAAGGTGGAGAGTGAGCTCCGCGAGATGGGCATCCCCCATGGAGGCCGCCGCGTCACCGCCCTGCAGACGACGGACTCCCCACTCCACCGATCGGAGGCGCCAAACCCGCCATCGTCATCATCGCAGGCAGCAGGAGCAGCAGCCTCGTCGTCGTCGTCTGCAGATGCCGACTTGATGTCGCAGCTGAGAAATGCGCTAGAAGAGGATGACATTGTCAAGGGCGACAAGGACGCGACGGCCGACAGGTGGGTGGGACGCGCCAGAGGGGCGGACTGGTCAGCGAGGCCAATGTGTGTGTGGGTTCTGTTTTGTGTGTCAGGCAAGGACCTTCGTCATCGGCATCCGATGCGGCTGCACCCCCTTCCCCTGCCCCTGCCCCTGCCCCTCCCCCTCCGCCCCCTGCCGACCAACCGCCGACCAAGGATGTGACCAAAAGTGACGAGGACGATGACTTCAAGGAGTTCATGGGGGACGACACCGAGTTCCTGCAAGCCAACGGGCCGATCGACGAGGCCAACCTCAAGGAATTCGAGGCCGAGTGGTTCGGCGAGAAGAACAATAATGCTGGTGGTGGCGCCACTGAGAACCAAGACAAGGACGGGGAGGGAGAGGCGTAGCAGAGGTGTCTGTTGGGGGCGTGGGGTGGGTGGCTCGGGGGAGGGGTTATCGCAGCATCTGTAGAGGGTCACTGGCGGCCCGCCGTCAACTGAGGGTTTTTTGTCGTCAGACAAGCGGCAGTGCGGTGGTGGTGCGGCAATTGTTTCCGATAGATGGCCATCGGTAGTTGTGTGTGTGTGCCTGGTTTGTATGTCACGCGTGTGTAGAGAGACGTAGAGAGACGCCTCGCCTCATCGGCGGCATGTCTGTCCATCGACCTGACCACCACTAAGGATGAATGTTTTGTGCATGTGCTCTGTCTGTCAGCCATTGGCCAACGTGTCTGTCAACCACACACATCACACCTTAGTCAGGAACGCCATCAATCACATCATAACGAATAAGTCTGTCTGCACTGCACCTCACACGACGGTCCTACTCATCCACACACGAATATATAAAGCCGACTCACTCACTGGCACAGAGGCACCGCCTGCTCTGCCGGAGCAGCAGCGGCATCGGGGACCCTCACCCTGATGTGATAATCATGCTGATGCACATGCACATTCACAGCGGGCATCCCCCTCGCCCCCACCCTCATCACCCTCGCCTTCCTCGACACACTGACACAAGCAGAACACCCCACCAACTCTACGGGCGGGGCGGACTCCTCCTCTCCATTTGCCTCGACCGTGTCAGCGGCCTTGACGGGCACACCCGGGACGTCAGGGGGCGGCACTTGACTCTGCTGAGCGTCTGTCGCGTCACGATGAGGGGTGCCGTGCGAGCACGCCGAGTGCCACTCCTCTTCTGCTCGTCCTGACTGCCTAGGGTCTTCGTCGGCCGCTCCAGTCGACAGCCGCACCTCGCCCCCCCGCTGCTGATGCAACATGTCCATCCAGCGGAGGTCTAGCATCGTGACCTCAGAGCTGCCGCCAGCCGCCAACAGGCGGAACTGGCGGGAAGCGGGGGTCACGGCAGACTCGGGCGTTGCGACAACATGAGAGTGGGGCGTGTTAGGCCAGCGCTGCCAGCTGAGAGAGGGTGTGAAGGAGGATAGGGCAGACACCCCTTCGCCGACTACTGGCGCGAGCACAAGCGGGGCGGATCCCTCAGTCGTCATCACGTAGCCCTTGAGCCGCTCGCCGGTATCGCTGGAAGACCTGGGCGCCACGATGAGGTGGAAAGGGGCAGCAGCATCCGTCAGGCGCGGGAAGATTTGCAGGTCCATCAGAGAAGGGTCCTCGGTGGCCGACACGCTGTATGCCGTCATGACCGAGACGCCCCGATCCTCTACCAGCACGACCAGGTAACGGGCAGTGAGGCCTCTCGCGTAGGCAGGGGGGAGGGATCGTTGCGGCGGGCCGACAAAGAAGACGTCATCGTGGCTCTCGCCGCCATGGGCTGTGCCCCCCACCTCCAGCACCGCCCTCGCCCTATCGCGAGCGTATCGGACGCTGCATCGATCGCTCATCAGCATGATCTCCCTGGTGGCCGTCCCTTGTGCGGTCGGCCGCAGCGCCCTCAAAGTCATGGACGCGTCGACAGTCACGTGCTCCGTCAGGCTGGATGCGTCGAGCGGGAGGCTCCTCCAGGGCTGCTGCCCGTCGATCGAGAGGCGCCCTGTCGCCCTCCGCCCAGACGCGACGCAGTAGGCTAGGAGCCTCCGTCCAGAGAGAGCCGTGGTGGGCAGGGTCGGCGAGCTGCTCATCTGCAGGCTCCCCATCTGCTGCTGCTGCTGGTGGATTTCCATGGCGACCCAGACGCCGGCCACCAGGGTGAGCTCCACTCGCCCTCGTATAGACCGATAGACGAGAAGGCCGTCACTTCGCGTGGTCTTCGTGAAGTCGCCACTGATCAGCTCGCCGCGAAGGGTCACTTTGTCGGGCGCGGCTGCGTGCTGGGCGGGAGATGGCAGCAGGAATGGTGCGTCCGGCCCGCCTGACTCGGCGGCCTCGAGAGTGTCCTCGACGAGCGAACAGAGCTGGCATGTGACATTCTTTCTCGGGAACGGGAGACCGGGGAAGGACGCCGACCCAACCGTGCCGCAGCTCACGCACTCCTGATGGGTGTCGGGGCCCCGTTGTGACGGTGTGGGGGTGAGGGGCGGCCGCAATGAGACGGACGATATGGGTGAGCTGCTGGCAGATGCAGATGCAGATGACGGGGTGCCGATTGACGTCCGGAGGTGCTGCGGCTGCCCTGGGGGAGGGGGTGGGTCTGGTCGCCTCCTTTCTCGCAGATCCATGTGGGCGATGTCGAACCGCTGCGTGTCGGATAGGTCGGCATCCTTCTCGGAGGCCGAGTAGCTGATAAGTCGCACCTTAGAGGGGTTCTTGCACAGAGCGCGACGGCGGTCACTGGGCGAAGCCAGCTCCACGATGAAGTAGCACGAGGGGGCGGGTGCCCTGACGTTCGAGCGGTCGGCCTGTGACCTGAACGATACGATGTGTGTGTGCTCTTGCTTGGGTGCGTTGAAGATGGCTGCCTGGCTTGTCACCCACCTGTCGACTGTGGGTTTGCGCCGCAGTTGCCACACGTACGTCGCATTGCAGATGTCCTCCTGTCTGCAATTTGAGGGCCGAAAGAGCTGGCGAATCTCGTCGGCCTGACATATCAGGCAAACAGACAGCAACAGTGGAGCAGCGAGGTTTGCCTGAGACTCTCCCCTCATCTGCTCACGTCGAATCGTGTGTTGGTGCCGACGATCTCCATGCGCAGATAACACACGGGGTTGGCCTCCATGGCTCTGCGCCGCTCGTCCATCTGGTCGATTACCTCGTCGATGGTCTGGCAGCGACCGGCCGCCTGCAAAGCGCTCATGATCTGACAGACGGAAACACGTAGATCTAGATGGGGGAGGGCTGGATGTACGGGTCGGTGCGGTGGCGGTGGTCGTGTGGTACCTTTTCCTTCGCTCCGTCAGACAACCGGTGGGAATGGTTGTCGAGGGGGTCAAAGGGATCTGCACAAGCAAGCGAAATGTGCGTGCCTGGCAAGCGGAGCATGCGTACGGGAATGCCCTGCCCACCCTCAATCAGCCACTTGTCCTTCAGGTCTTCGTGCCGTTGCGCACCGAGATGGCCCTTCTTGCTGAAGCGTGCCGGACTTGTGAGCTGCGCCTCGTAGTCCTTCCAGCTCGCACTGGGCGGCTCCAAAGAGCACCAGTTGTCGTAGATGCCCCACGCGCGTCTGACAGATACGGCATGTTCTCGCCAGTTGAACAGCCCGTAGAAGCGAAAGAACTGCAGGATCAGCGTGTCGAGGTTGTCCGTATTTAGCCATCCCCGTGGCACATGTGGCAGGCAGTCGATCTTCTTCAGGAACTCCACCTTCACTGGGTCGCCGCTGCGCGTCTGCGTATAGGATCGGTAGATGTTGATGTTGTCACGGTCTTCAGGCCTGACAAAGCGCAAGGCGTCGTCGTGCAGGTTGGGGAGAATGGGCGGAACGGTGTTCTGGCAAAGGAAGGAGGACAGTGGCGATGTGATGTGCTGCAGTTAACCGCTGCCTTCGCGTCTTCTTACTTGCAAGAAGTAGATGACCATAAGCGACAGGCCGTAGCCCTTGAGCAGATCAAGAGTGCCCGTGAGACCGCTAAGTCTCGCCCACTCCTACTCAAGACAAGACGCACAGGGTGGAGGGTGGAAGGATGGATGGATGCCGTTATTGGGCCAGCCATCGATGGCACCTTGACGAATCGCCCCATGTGTTTGACTCGGCCGTAGATGTCGCAATCACAGTAGGTCCTGATGAGCATCGTGTTGTCGAGTGCCATTGGCGAGTTGACCGACAAATCCACTTCCGTCCCTGCACACGGTTGACCAATCACACAACAGAGAGATCAAGCACACGTCTACGCCTTCCCTTGTTTGCCCACCTGAGTAGGCCATCTTCAATATGGGCACTTTTGCACTAAAGATGCGGGCGATGTCGGTGAATCGCGCTTGGACAAGGAAGGGGATCAGCGCCTCGAGCAATGCGCCACTGAGATCCCGCATAAGACCGTCCCGCCTCCGCTGCTGCTGCTGCTGCTGCTGCTCTGGCGCAGAGCTGCTGATGGAGGGGAAGGCCCTCTGCAGGAAGTCGAGGGAGATCAGGAGCGTCACATCCACATCGCTCGTCTGCACAGAAACATACATACATAAGTCATCAAGGGCAATAGACAGGGAGTGCCTTCAGCACGCCCGCTACTGACCTTGGTTGCCATGCCGTTGGCCGCACCCCCGAAGGCTTTGCATTGGATCGTCTTGTCGTCCAGCTCAAGTCCTATGCTCTTGCCCCACTCCACCACACACCCCTCGATAATGGCGCAGACGCTCTGAACGGTGCTCCCGTAGTTGGACGATGGTGCCATGTGAATGAGCCATTGCCGCAGCCGTGGAGATTCTGCGATACCGGCATCCAGCAGCTCTATCGGCACGTCGGACATGACCAATCTGCATCAACACACATTCCAGGAGAGCACATACAGAAACAGGCATGTGGACGGGGGATGGGATGGCTTGCTCGCTTCCTTCCTTCCTTCCTTCCTTCTGCGCGTTACCTCACATAGGCGCTTGTGCTCTCTCCCTTCTGACGTTGCCTCACGAATGCCGACACATATCTGACGGCTTTGTTGTCTCGTTTGTCTTGAACAATGCTGTCTTACGAGCCAACGAAGGCCACTCTCCCCTCCCCCTCTTCGTCCTTCCCTCTCTCAGGGAGGCGATCGAGTGAGGATCGAATTGATGAAGAACTCGCTGACGAGGAGCCATCTTTCGCCGGTCTTTCTTGCAAATGACACAGATCATGGTCTACGTTCTTCCTGCACGAGAAAAGGCCGGAGAAAACGATGTCTGATTCGGCGTCTCCGCCCCCACGACCCCCATCCAGTTTTCACGCTCCCTTTGGAGAGATGGCGGACTCTGAGGAGAGCTCACCAATGTCTGATGTGGTCGTCGCCATCCAGTTCCCAGCGATGGCTCCAAAGTCAGACGCTCAACCTGGCGCCACAGGGGATACGGAGGCGAAACAAGCACATGGCGCTGCGACCGCCCCGGCCGCTCGGGAGGCAGCAAAAGTGGATGACAAGAAACCCCATGGCGGCGAGCGTGAGGCGAAGGACGACGTTGCTGAGGTTGCTGTGAACGTGGACGTATCACTGCAAGAGAAGGCGAAGAGAGATGATGCAGCGGCTGGGGGTGCTGCGCCAAAGAAGGAGGATGACGTCCCCTTCATGCCCCTGAAGGAGGGAGATGACACTGACCCTTCTGCCATCGTCCTTCAGCCCCTTGTCGCCGAAGGGGAGCCAGTATTGCCGGTTGGAGAGACAGGCTCGAGACGGGGGTCTGGCGGGAGCAGCGCAAGCCCGGTGTGGCGGAGAAAACGGTCCATGGACATGGTCGACCCCTATCAGGCGGCTGATCTCGGTGAGTACAGAGAGACACACAGTGCAGTGCATGTGGTTCATGCCGTCATTCGTCTATATATGCTCTATCCACAGCGGTTGCGAAGCGTCACTTGGTGAACTCCAGCTGTACTGACGCCGATGACAAGTGGATGCATCCGGTCGTCACGGAAGTGCAAGAGCTGGTAGGCATTGCGGCGCCCCCTTGCTTCAATCAATGGTCATCCATCATACCGTGTTCCCGTCTCTGTCTCTGTGTGTGTCAGGGTCAGTTTGGTGTCGGCGTGCAGCTGTACTTCGAGTTCCTCTGGCATCTGGCTCTTGTACGCCAGGAAAAACAGAAGCACACGCACATTAACTAAGTCTGCCTCCCTCTCTTGAACAGGTGTTCTTCCTCATGTTCGTTCTCACCATACCGAACCTGACATTTTTCTCAGTCGGTCAGCAATAGCGGAAGGCCATTCATAACATGCCTCCTCCCGCGGCTTATTGGCTCTCCTCTTGTTCCATTCAGGCAACATGCTGCACGACGGCAAGGCCATGTTCAAGATCGAACGCACATTCGTACGCAGAAATGAGCGATGGAAGGAAGCCTCACGGAACACAGCTATATCAACTTCCGCTGTTTGCAGATAGCCAACATCGGCAAGCGGCCCACCATCGTGCCCGGCACGAGTCCCGCGAAGGCCCGTGAGCTGATCCAAAATAGGCCGGTGACGGTTGGCTTCTTCGACTTGGAAATCAAAAATGTGACCGTCGCATGTGGTGTCTTTGACGGCCTGGCCATACTCGTAAGATGCAAACAGAGACGGAGATCGAGGTGCATGCAAAAAGGTCATCTGTCGCGTCGTCGTGATGCAGCTGCTTTTGGGTTGGGTGTGGTGGTTCCGCCTCCGTCGCATCAAGGAGGTGGTCAAGGAAAACGATGAGGACAACGTGACCCCAGGGGACTTCTCCATCCTCTGCTCAAACCTCCCAAGACATCTCGGCGAGTGAGGATGCGTATCATGTCTGGGCGCTATGTGTGTGTCTCCGTCAACGATCGTGTCTTTTGCTTCTATGGATCACAGTGACCACAACAATTACGAGAAGCTGATGAAGAGCCACTTCCTGCAGTTCTGCGGCGGACAATGGGGCGAGCCGATTCAGGCCGTCATGAACTACGAAGCACCCAAAGACAGCGTCGTGGCGGTCAGTCACACCAACCCCACTCACTAACACACTCCGGCCACACCATATCTGATCGTGTGCACATGTCAGGTGGTGCTGGCTCGCGAGTACAACGGCCATGTGCGGAAGCACGCCCATGTGGGCCAGCTGATGCATCAGCTCAACCTGATGAAGGCGCGTCAGCGAGAGGGCGTCAAGGTGAATGAGAAGCGCATGGAGGCGATCGAGGACAAGATCCGCAACAAGCGGGAGCACCTCAAGGCCAAGCAGAAGATCACCGAGGAGGAGAGGGAGGTCTGCATGGCCTTTGTGACGTTCAACCGGGAGGACGACAAGGAAAACATACTCGACTGGTCAGTGAGCTTGTGAAGCCTTGCTTGAGCTTCTGCCTCCCTGGAGGCGCTTATCTGTCTCTCTGTGTGCTATAGGTACGCCTGGTCGCGTGTGTGGTTGTTGAAGTACCTCCAGCAGGAGTATCTCAAGTTCAAAGGGCGCAGGATCCGTGTGGAGCAGGCGCCGGAGCCGTCCAACATCCTCTGGCAGAACCTCGACTTCGAAAAATGGAAGCGGGCCTACCGCGTCTGCCTCACAACACTCCTCACCATCGGTGACCGGTTGACCAATGCCGCTGCACGTGGCTCTCTGCATGCCTGTATCTCCTGCTGTCAGTGCTCCTGCTTCTCTGCGGCGGGCTGATAGCCTATAGCAAGGAGGTGGCTGCCATGAATATCGACGTGCCCGAGGAGGGCCACGCGTGGCGCCTCACCATCAACACCCCGTCGAGGACGCAGTTCATCATCTGCGACCTCCAGTTCTTCTCGGACTATGACTGCAGAAACCCCGTCAACGACGTCACCGAGCTGCCTGCCAATCGCGAGTGGAGCTATGCGGCGGACGGAGACCTCTTTCGGACGATGAGTGGGGTACCTGTGCCACCCTCTGCGAATGGCCTCACCTGCAATGGGGAAGGCTACTTCGAGGTGAGGAGATGTGTGTCAAGAAAGAAGAGCGCGATGTGTGTGTCTGCTGGTCCTTGCTTGGGTGCTCTTCAGAGTGACGGCAGTGAGAAGAGCGGCTGGATCTCTGTGGAGTTTGACAAGGAGATGTCCGCCAGATGTGTGGCACTCAACGCCTCAGATGCGGTAGCACACCACACGCGGCGCCAGCCAACGGATATCTTCATTGCATCTCAAATGAGTCAATTGATCAGGTCCGCGGCATGACTGCCACCGTCGAGACATGTGAGACAGTTCAAGTCGACCCAAGCGAACGTCAGTCGGACCACAGGAGAAAAAATGAGACACCACACAGACAAGACAGCGGCATCCTTGTGTTGGATGTGTGCAACGCAGCCCCGACGTACGTGTGCACCAAGGTGCAGAACATCCAGGAGGGGTCCTTCTCCGCGGGTATCAACCGGTTCTCCTTCACGTCCCTCATGCATCCCGCACTCGAGCAATGCGGCGACGTCAGCCTCACCGACCACCTCACAATCGCAGAAGCCAAACAACTCGAGGAACGGGTCAGTCAGTGAGTTGCCGCCTCTTTCTGTCTCCATGTCGGCGCGAAGTGATCTGTGTTGTGTGTGCAGGATCAGACGCGGAGTGACTACTATGTCTCGTGTTACTGCGGTATACACAAGTTCGACATAGCGAGCGACCCCGACCTGCAGTCGATGTGCGCGTCGTACCTCAAGAACACCGTCACGCTGGTCGTCCTGGGCGTGGCGGCCGCGTGCCTCATCGTGGCCATCAACGTGGTGCTCAAAGTGACACTCAAGCAGCTCAGGTGAGTGAATCGCCACACACACCACACCACACCACACCACACCACAAGCCATTGCCTGGATGGATGGATGGATGTGTGTCGAGTGCAGCAACTGGGAGAAGCCATTTTTTATGTCTCAGCTCCTCCGCTCGAGAATCGTCAAGGTGTTTGTGGCCCAGTGGCTCAACACGGGCGTGATCGTGCTGCTGCTCAACATGCGTCTCGGCAACAAGAGCTTCTACCTCGGCCCCACCAAGATCGGCGGCGAGTTCGGCGATTTTGTCCCGGAGTGGTACATCAAAGTGGGCATGTCGGTGCTGCTGACCATCATGGTCAACGTAGTGAGCCCTCACGGCATCGCCTTCGCCATGCTGCCGCTGAGGCCCCTCTTCCGCATGTGTGGGAAGCGGAGTGCCAAGATACAGGCGGACCTCAACAAGGTGTTCACCAACCCCTCGTTCGATCTGGACGTCAGATACGCGCAGACACTGCAGACCGTCTGGGTGGTACTCATGTACAGCTCAGGTATGCACTCATTCAAAGAGGGACCAATGAACGTGTATGGTGTGTGTATCCTTCCTTCATGTGTTGTGTTGCAGGGATGCCCCTTCTGTACTTGGCGGCGTCCGCGTGTTGCTTCTTCACTTTCTGTTGCGACAAGTTTGTGCTGCTGTGGGGCTCCCGCCGGCCGCCTTCATTCGACCACATTGTGGCCACCACAGCCATCACGACCCTCCCACTGGCATCTGTGCTCCACAACGTGTAAGCAATGCAGGCAGGCAGACAGTTCCCCCTGTGTCATGAATGCGTGTGTGGCAGTGTGGCTGTGTTCATGTTTGGGCACGGCACAATATTCCCATCGGACCCTTTGTTGATCGGCACGACCAAGGACCCACCTGTCGACAAGGAGGAGCCATACTCATATTTCTGGGACGGGGCTTCGAACTTGACGGAGAACCTGCTTCACCTAAGAGACAGAGTCTTCACCATGGCCGGATTTGTCCAGTAAGTAGGGAATAAGACTGAATGGTGCGGTGTCTGCAGTGGAAAATGATATGTGTCGGTTTTCTTGTCAGGGTGGTGATCCTGGCGGTCTTTGCCATCAGCTACGTCGTGGCCTGGCTGTCCTTCCTCTTCAGAGGAGTCAAGGTCAGACACAGACAGACACATGGATGACTGACGCTTTTCATACCTTGATGGGCGGGACGCGTGAATGCAATGCAGCTATTCTGCACTAGCTGTCTCCGCCGGTACTTGGTGCCCAAGAAGCTATGGGAGGTGAGGTGGGCGACACCGCGCTCCGCTCCCCCACAAACACAAGGAAACGATAATGTGTGTGGATGCATATCGATCAGGGCCTGTCGCCAGACCCCAAGCACCACCACATCAGCGAGGTAATCGGCCAACACACATGGACGGATGCCCTTCTTTCGTCCGCGGTCCCACTCTGTGTGTGTGCAGGCGTACATCATGTCGCCACGGAAAGGATCCAAGGAAAGCAACCCCGACGCAGCCGAAGTCAAGGCATCCGCTTCCAAGAGAAAGCAGAGCGAAGCGAAATCAGACTCCAAGAGACAGTCTGAAGTCGCCCCAACGATCACGGAGGGCACCTTCGTGGACAACCTGCCGGTCATGACGCGTGGCGACCTGGTGGTGTCCTACCGCATGGAAGACAACCCTGACTATAAGGGGGCATGGCGTGCGATCATGGAGGCTGACACCGAGGTAAGCCCTTGTACTTTCTTGGTGGTGTCTCGCCTCCATGCTGGTGGTCTGGTGGATGCAGACACGGCGGGAATCGATGGCGACCCGGCGTGAGTCGGCGCAGACCGGGCGCGAGTCTGGACAGCCGGACAGCCAGCGGGCCCTGGAACCAGAGGCGGCGGAGGTTGAAACAAGCGAATGAGGGAGGGAGTGACTAGCAGTCTGTCTGTGCGTGTGTTGTGTTCTGTTGGGTGTAAGACGGTATGATGACGGTATGTATGCATCTGCTCGTAAGCATCCTGTGACATCATGAATCACCTTCATCGACCGTTCACAGAACATGCACAAGACAAGGTCCCCCACGTCCGCTCGTACCTCTGCGAGCACCACCTATCTATCGGTCTATTCCTTCGGCCCTTCACCCGTTACCCCTTCCTCCTTGTCCGCACCCTCTTGTGTGTCCTGCTGCTGCGGCTGCTCCTCTCTCACAACAAGGAATGACGTGCTCTTAAGAGCAAACCGATTCCCCGCCATCGCAAGCAGGTCCACACACGCGCTGGACCTCATGAAATCACCCACACCGATTGCCGAAGGCTCCTGGCCCTCTGGTGGCTGGTCGGGCTGCGCGTGTTGGACGAACGAGCTGATTGACATTTTGAGGGCCAAGTCGGGGACGGAGAGAGGGTGGGATGACGGCCGCACGGCGAATTGTGTGGCGGCCATGTAAAGCTGCTCGGGCGACACCTGCAGACCGTCACACATGGCGGAGAGATCATCTGTCTCCTGTTGCTGTTGTGTCTGCAGGGGCGCCGCAAGGCTGAGTATGTGCCGCCGTAGGCCGACAGAGGGGGTGGGCCCAAGGCTGAGATAGCCCAACAGACGGCGCGCATAGACCTGACACACAGCCCCACACGAGGGGACGTGAACAGAGGACACCCGCTTGAAGTCCATCTATCGTCAGTCTGCTCACCGTCTCAGCCCCGAGCCCATTCTGCCCCACCCCCTCTCCCTGTGGCGGCCCCTCATCCCCTTCCCACAATCGATGCGCCTTCATGGTGTCTCTGATCGACGCGGCGGTCCCTCCCACTCCCGCCTGTGTCAGCCGAAACACATCAAACAGTAGCTTGAGTGCCTCAGCTCGCAGTTGCTCGGGAGTCGGGAATGTGGGCGTCGGCTCGGGGGTCTCTGTTTGGGACGAGGGGGGCAGGGATGAGAGGGGCAGGAGGGGGAGGGAAGCGAACTGGTCTGCAGTAAGGAAAGCCTCGGTCTCGGTGAGGTCTTCTGTGGCGCCTGTCAGCTCCGCGATGGACTTGCGCAGCTGCAAGGGGGATAACGAAACAGCGAGTGGTTCTCTGGTGGCTTCTTGTCCGGTACCATGATCAGATCGCTTGCAGATGGCCACAGAGAAGTCTGATCATCCACGAGGCCATTCAGCATGACAGTCAGCACGACCTCAGTGGCATCGACCGCACCACCACTGCAGTCGCCAGCAAACGTCTGTGCAAGCTGCTGCAGACGCCGTTCAGCATCGGGGGCACTCTCGAGCGACGCGGGCAAGAGAGACAGATGGAAGGCGCGCGAATGGGCCAGACGGTGGACCAGGAGATCCTATGGACACACGAACAACACACGCTACCGTCGTGTGAAGAAGACACTCGGATATACCTTCAGCTGGCTGACGGCCATCACGCCCTTGGTGATGGCTGGCAGCATCTCGTCGAAAAGGCCTCTCAGCTGGGCGATCGTCCACCTATCTGTGTGTGAGGGCTCCACTGTCGGGGGCACTGGTGGCGGGGGCGGGAGGGCCAGGTGCTCTGTCGGTGCGAGGTATATGGTCGTGCCTTCCAGGGACAGGTAGTACGGCAGCTGCAGATATGAAAGACGACAAAAGGATTCAGAGACAGAGGAAGGTTGCTCTGAGGAGTACACATCTCATCTGACCTTTGTTTGGTCCTCGATGTGTGACTGGACGATCTTGGTCAGGGACTTGATGGCCTCGTTCTCGGCGTACACGCGAGCCACAATCCAATCATCGAGCTTCTCAAACACCTGCACACAGACACAGCTGTCCCGTCCGACCTCCTCTCCCGCCCCCCTTTCTCACGGCATCGCTCTTCTCGCAGAGGTCCCTGAGCTCGCCTTCAGCCCAGTGCTTTATCCGCAGGACGTGATACTTGTACCTCACAGCGGCCTCCATCCTCGCCTGCTGCAGGTCCACAAAGAGCGGCGGCGGGGGCTGGGCCAGCGCCTGCTCGTCAGCAGCTGCGGCAGCTCCTTTCTTGTCCTTGGCAGCGTCCTTCTTGCCCGCGTCCTTGCCCTTGCCGGCGGGCTTTCCCTCTGGCTCAGCTGGGGCGGGGGTGAAGGGGTCCCTGAAGGGCTCCAAAGGCGCGATGAAGTCCAGCGCCTTGTTTGTCATGGCATCCAGGAAAGGGAAGCGCCAATCCAGTTCGGCTGACACCGCCAGTACCAATACCAATACCATGCGAAAAAACTGCCTTGCGCTGTGTCTCTGTCTCTTCTCACATACGTACGTTGTGTCTCATCTTGGGTGGGTTGTCCTTTGAGAGTCCTCTCTCTGTACACAGGCGCATCGGGCAGCGGGTTGCCGTCAGGCCCCGTCCATATGTCGAGCTTAGGCATGGGCGGCGGGGCGGCACCCTCAGCCAGGGCCTCTGTGGGGTCGTTGGGTCTCGATGGGATGCCCAGCTGCATGGCTGAGTAGTAGAAGTCGTTTAACAGCCGGTCGGACGCTGTGTACCTGATAAAGGACAGAATCATGTGGCCGTGTGACGAATAACGGAGCGACCAACTTGCCTTTCGAGCTCTACTTTGAGAATCCTCTGTATTTGTAAGGCGAGAATTTCCACCTGCCCCTCCACCCATCCGCTGGTCATGATGGTGTTGCGCTCGGCGACGGCCTCATCCTTCTTGCGCAGCACCACCTGGAAGAGCTCAAAGGATAGGTCAGCCGCACGCTGATGCAGCTCCTCCTACACACACGTAAACAGATTGAATTGACAGATGTGTGTATCATGAATTTGTGTGAGGCAAGTACTTTGGTGTCGTCTTGTTTTCTCATGTCTGGGTAGCTGTCTGAGAAGCGGTTGAACTCCTCAACAAACTTGTCCACGTGCACCTATCGGGGCACCGGGACGGGCATAATCACTGGGAAGCCAAGAGGGCGACGGATGTTTGTGTGCAAGGTGAGACCTGCTTGTCATCAGGTCTGTCGAGGAACGCCACAAAGTCTTTCTGGATGTTCGCCAGGGTCTCGCGGATGGACTCGCGGAGAGAGCGATGCCAGAGAAACACCTGAAAAAAAAACACACGCAAGAGAGCACCAACGACGCTTTTGCGTACGGCACGCTGCTCGACCCACCTGGCCCATGCCTTTGAAGAATCCCTCCTCCAGCTCGTGCCACTCATCCCATAGGAGGTCCCGGACGGCTGGCTCGAGGTCGCTGACATACCCTGGCAGCGACGACACATCTATCCTGTCCTCCTTCTTCTCCTCTTTTTTCTTCTCTCCCTCTGCCGGCTGGCCCTCCTCCGCATCTCCCTCACCCTGTGCACCTGGCTGTGCCTCAGTGGCTGCGGGAGGTTCCTCTGCTGCTGCTGTGGGGGCGGGCTGTGTCTCGTCTGCCCTGGTCTCCTCTCCTCCCTCTTCCTTCGGCGGTGCCTGTGCCTCAGCCTTCTGCCTGAATCGGTCGTGGACCGTGTTGGCAAGGAGGGTGTAGGCGCTCTCGGGTGGCTCCTCGCCTGTGGGGGCGGAGGGCGCCGCGGGAAGGGAGAGGTCAACCAATCGAGGCATCTCCTGATGAGACATGCATGGTATGTATCCATTGTGTAGATCGATCGACGCTCACACACCTCGTTGCCAAAGTGATCGAGAAAGGTGTCGATGGCCTCCTGCTCCACATCGAAGGCGTGACAGCGGTCAACCATCGTGCCCTGATATACATCAAGACATGCATGTGTGAAATGGCATTGGGCCGACAGCGTGGCGAACTGACCATGGGGTTCTGGGGGTCTTCATAGGGCAGCAGCCTCTCGAAGGCAAGCGGCTTGTGGGATGGGGGCTCGCCCTCCACCACCACAACATTACCTGTCTCGGGGTCGATTCTCCTCCCCAGCGCAGTGCGAATGACCTCCTCAGTCGGTATCTTCACACGGACATGGAAGTCAGCCCCGCCTTCACGCCTCACCGGTGGAGGCACGGGCATTGGAGGCATCGGCTGAATCAGCGCTGCACGCCTCTTCTCCCTCTCAGCGACGGACAGTGGCCGCCTTGACGGCAGAAGGAAGCCCGAGAGCCTCTCTTCAAGAGTGGCGTATTGCTCAAAGGTGCTGGGGAAGCCGAGGAGAAGCCAGCCATGAGGGACGAGACCGTGGAGAGGCTCGATGCGTGTGACAGGGGCAGGCTCGGGGGCGCCTCCCTGAGAGCCACAAAGACAGAGCCACTGCTCTGTTGCTTCGCGGGTGGCTGATGTGTCTCCTGACCTTCTTCTTTTTCTTTGGGTCTTCCTTGGGTGGCGGGGGAGGAGTGGGGTCGGGCACAAAGCCTGCTGGGAAGAGTGCTCTGACTTTGGTGACGACCAAGTCAGCGTACAGCTCATTCGGCACCACCCCGCCACTGCAAAGACACGGAAACATGGATACAATGTCACTCATGAGCAAATCCACCCAGTTGGCTCACCTCGATAGACTTTGGTGTGCCTGCTCGCCCAGCTCCTTCAGCCTCTGCGCTTCTGCTGAGAGCTCTTGTGGCTCCGCTGGCGGCTCGTCCTTCTTGCCACTCTTGCCCTTGCTGTTTGCCTCTGCAACGGGTGGCACATCCCCCTGGTGCTCGTGGTGCCCCGCCAGCGTGAGCGCCTCCGCCAGGATAGTTTCGGGTTTCAGCAGGGAGAGGCCGAAGCGGTCGCAGAGATACGAGGCGATCATGCCCTCGCCAGAGAGTGGCTTGGCGGTGAGTATGAGTCTTATCGGCACGTCTGGCACGTCAGGTGCAGGAGGGTCGGGGGGCGGCGGGAACTTGTGTTCGATCAGCGATGCCACGATCACACCCAGTCGGTACAGCACCGGCTCCCCGCTGGGCTTGACTTCAATAGCATCCGACAGCGCCGTGACGACAGCACCGACCTGAATGAAACACACAAGAGACTGCATTCCTCATGTCTTTGCCTCGTTTGTGGCGTCCCCACCGCGGCGTCCCTCTGCATAACGGCCTTGGCTTCCTCCGCCGCCTGCAGGGGCGGCGCGACCATCGCCCACTGCCCCCGGCCGTCAAGGTAGGCCCGCACTTCAGCGCTCTCCACCACCCCCAGCGACCGAATGACGCGAGGCTCCTCCATGCCCTCAGCTGAGTGAAGAAGGAGAATAAACATACATGACAATCCGCGTGTACGTATTCATCTTCATCCTCTTCTCACATCTGTCCTCAATCGCCGGTGGCTCGGCGAGAGGGAATCGGGATGTTTTGCGAGTCTGTGCGGCGTCGAGAAGACTGGGCAGGGGTGCAGTGAAGCCGATGAGTGAGGGCTCGGGCGGCGATGGGACCGCCTGGCCGTCGACGAACAGTGACATCCACTCGCGCCACAGCTGACTGTCCACGGCATGCTGCATGGGCAAGACAACAATACACACATCACATTGATTGCGATGGTACACACATTACGCCCAAGACGACAGACAAGATATCGAGACACGTAGAGGCATTGTGGCCAGGTATCGTGCTGACCGCATCGGTGGTTTGTCGTTGGTAGAGGGCAGCGTTGACGACGCTGAGGATGAGATCCAGTGTGTCCTCACACGCAGTGGCGTGACGCATCTTCTGGTCGGCCTGACACATCCATACATTGTGCTCGTGTGGACACAGCACAAGAGAGGAGCTGCCATACGTACTTTGCGATTCCTGTCGAGCTCTCGGTAGTAGGAGGCCTCCTGCTCTGTCTGCTGCCTCCGGGCCGCTTCTGATGCCCTGGACCCCAACATGCAACACCTTGATGTTATGGGCACACGCAGAGTGAGTGTCTGAGTGCTCGCTCACTCCAGCAGTTTCCTGTCCATCTGGAGTGCCCACTGTGCGTCCTCCTCCCTCTTCTGCTGATACTGTCTCCCACGCAGCTCCCGATTCTGCCTGAAGACCTCCTCGTGCCGGCGGATCTTCCACACCTCGTAGGCCAGCTCACGTTCTCGCTTGGACTGACGGTTAACCTGCTCGAGCAGCATCTCCTCGAACCCCTTCCTTTGCGCCAGCTCCTGGGCCTGCTGCTGCTCCACCAGCACTTTGCGGCGACGCCGTTCTCTGATGGAGCGAGACGGACGGGAGGAGGTGGCAGGTCTGTTTGCTTGTCCTTTGCTTGATGTGTGCTTGCCTTTCTCTTCGCGCCTGGTCGATGGCTTTCTTGTTCTCCTTGATGCGTCTGAGGCATGCAGGCCACACACGTTCGTGTGTCTCGCGCGTCTGTGTGTCGTCACCTCACTTCATGGTGAGGTCAGAGGTGACTTTCATTTCCTTGTCGGTGGGGAGCCGGTCGATCATGGTCTGAAGCAGCTCCAGCCCAGTGGTCACCTCAGTGCCCGCTTCACCCTCCTCCAAACTGATGGCACACACACACACACACACACACGCGGATAATGGCGCACTGGGGCAATTAGATGTGTTCTGCTATCACCCTCTCGGCACAGTGTCGATGCCGATTCGCTGGAGGTTCTCCTCGAAGGACTCGATGCCGCCGCGCATGTCATCCTCAGCAGCCTGACGCACCTTGGCCATCTTGCTGCCCACACAGGGAACACAAAAGTCAACGATGAGTGGGACGCCCTGCTCTCTGTTCATGTCATGTCTCACTCTTTGTGCTTGTCTTGACGCTTGCGCTCAAAGCGGACGCCCTCAAACTCCCTGCGTACATAGATGTGTACACGTGAGTAGTCAGGTGAAGGATCAAGCAGGCTTTTCACTCAGAGGACGGACCTCTTTGCATTTGCGATCTGGTTTTTCTGCCACTGGTGCCAGCCCTCTTGCTCCCAGAGCTTCTTGAACTCCTGGTTGCGCTGGAAGGTCGCCAGCCGCTGGTCGCGGAACTCACGGCGGTTCTGGTCTATCATGTCGCCTATCATCCTGACGAACAGACACACACAGATTGTCTGTGTTGTGCCCGGGTGGGGCACTTTTCGTGTGTTCACTTTTCCTTGATAACGGCCTTTTCCTCCATGTCGAGTCTCTCGTCCTCGTATTTCTTGAGCAGCAGGTCCATCTTGAGCTGGTAGTTGGGCATGGTCAGTGTCCGCAGCCTCGAGTCGACAAAGTTCATCGTGTGGGCATCATACTGACGCAGACAGACACCCCTTCATCCCAGACATGCAGGTGCCCCTCCCTCTCTCCCCTTCCACCTTTGGCTTGGTCAGTCGAATCGATTTGGTTGTGCCCATACCGCCCTTGGCCATCCCCTCCTTGCTTTGCTCGGCCTGCCGTTCGAGGGCCATCTTGAGCCGGTACAGCAGCCGTAGGGCGGCACCCCGCTGCCTCTCCATGACGCTGCGCATGGCTCGGGTGTCGAACTTGATCTTGAGGGAGCGGAAGGTGGGCTCCAGCTTCTTGAAGTTGGCCATTTTGGCAGCGGCAGTGGAGCTGCACACACCAAACACAGTGCAGGCATGTGGCCCCCTTTCGTATGTGGGTCATTCACCTGTCGCTGAAGCCCTGGAAGTCATCCTGCTGATGAAACTTGTGCAGGAGCTCCCCGAGCAGATAGCCATTGGCGAAATCATCCTCGAAAGACCGAATTGGGCGTGAGAGGCACACCTCATGCTCCAACCACGAGGACAGTAGCTGTGACATGCTTCGCTGTGTGCTGAGCTTCAAACTTCAAGTTGTTTGCATGCACAGTCTCGGGGGCCTGGGGGGGCGCGAGCGCGCAGCGTCGTGCGGTGAAGGATGGGAGCGCAGCCTACTAAGGCGGGGTCGCCGCAGGCGGCCTCTAACAGGAGGCAGCTCGTCTTCCAAGTGTGTTCTCTGTACAACTTCCCTTCAAAGAGCGTCACGGAGGTACGAGCAGGCCAGCAGATGGATAAGGGAGGCCAACCACGGCCCATGAAGAGGGTCCCGCACACACACGAGGGACCATGTGTATGTCCATTGGTTCTGCAGGAATGGGTGCTGCGTTTCGATAGCGATTCGTCTGTGGGTTATGTGTTGCCAACGCGTGGAGTGCAGTCCATCCCGGTCACGCGCATCGCTGACAGGCTCAAGTGCCAGATTTGCAGGTGAGGGAAACCATACATAGATCCATCCATCTGATCCATGGCTCTTTTCCCTTCATCAGAGTGCGCGCTGACAGCTATTTCTACCGTGAGCCCGAGGCTGAGCAGACCGCCAACTCGAGCCCGACGGCCAAAAGATCTGCCAGAAGTGCAAAGGCCTTCCCTGCGCTCGATTCCAGTGCCGATGCGCTGCCCGAATCATCGGGACGCATCGACGTCAGGACATGGATGGACGGATGGATGGATGGATGGCATCCGTCACTTCTGTATGTGTGTATGTGCATGTCAGCTGGGCGAGGGGTCTGACGTTACTGTGGTGATGGAGCTGGACCTCGATATCAACTACATCGACGCACACCACATGGGTAAGAGAGCAGCGGAAGGGATAACGCATCCCCTGACTGAGTGCTTGGTTGACGTCCGTTGCTTGTCGCTGCACATGTGCCTTCCGTTCAGGTTTGATATATCGTGAGTGGATAGGTTTCCCTAGCGATGAGGTGTCGTCTGCCGCGTCCCCCTCTTCCACGGCTGCTGCTGCTGCTGCGGCGGCCACGCAGCCCTCCAAGCTCATAGATGACAATCCAGGCAGCGGAAACGGGTGAGAAATGGCATGAATGGATGAAAAGCCTGTTCATGACTGCTCTTCTGTCCCTTCAGTGTGAGTTTGGCGCATGCGTTGACGGCTGGGTCGCGTCCTGACATCCCCAAGATGATCGTATCGGTGAGCTGAGACCACCAAGCTGTGCAACAGGGGGGAAACAAAGAACACCGACGGCATCCTGGATTTCGCTCTGTCTCCACAGATTCAGCTGCCGTCATCTCCAGCAAAAAGTGCCCGACTCGCAGAGGGGCTGACATGCACCAACACACCTGTATGCGTCTTTTGTGTGTGCAGTTAGTGATTTGTCCATCGGAAAGTTCTCTGCCGGCCGGTCGGAGCGTACATGTGGGATGGCCGGGCAGCACCCTGCAGACGCCAAGAGTAGGCACTGTCGACATTCCCATCTCCCACAGCAATCGGTACACGTGTCTCTACCTCTCCCTGCTGCAGATTCTTCGTATCTGATGAAGATCCTGGCCAAGTGGGCGGAGAACCAGGAGGTCAGGTACCAGGGGAAGAAGAGAGTCGCATAGCAGTCAGTGTATGGCTTCTTCTTCTTGTACTTGACTGTATGCAGGCTGCCGCTCGCTCGTTGCAGGACGCGTATGAGAGTTTGAAGGAGGTGTCGCAGATACAGCAGGTGCGCTAATGCATTGGATGGGCACATGGATGTCCACAATAGTATGTCTCCTCTCCCTCTTCCCCTTATCGCAGAAGAATCGCAACCTACAGGATCTCATCATAGAGCGGGTAGCACTTCGAACACGCCGGTGCAGTCCTTCCTCTCATTCCTTCTGTCGGTGTGTGTGGTCGTCAGGACCAAGAGATTCAGTCTCTCCGTGCCCAGCTGGAGCGCGCCAATGAGGCGGCCAGGCGTGCGAGCGCAGGGTCTGAGAGGGCCTCGTCGCTCTCCCTCTTCTCGCGCACCAGCGTCGTCAAGGGCAAGACGCAGCAGAACAAACCCAACGGCAAGGCGGCGGGGGGATACCTCGACGACTTCGCCGACAAATACAAAGACGGTAGGCCACATGCACACGAGGCACACAGCCATCCCTCTCTCTACGCGCGTCTCATTCATTTTGTCTTCAGAGGACCGTGCTGCCCGCTCCAGTGGCACCCAGAAGGGCCCGGCGCCCAGCGGCACATTCGACAGTGAGCATGGCCAAGATGTTCCTGCTGTTGCCGGGCCCAAGAGCGACTCAGATGCGCTGAGCAATCCTGAGGTGGGGACGGGTGTGCAGCTGCTGACGGGCGGGTCATTCGGCAGCTTCAACCTCATGAGCCACATCCGGGCGCATCACGCCAAGGGGCAGAGTCAGGGGCAGGTCAATGGTGCTGCTGCTACCGCAGACAACGGCACCGCAGCGCAGAACGGCAGTGCCAGATAGATAGACATCAGCAGTGTACCATGAATGTCTACTTCTGAACGCTGCATGTTTACACTGCGATCGGACTGAGAAGTTGCTGATGAACTGATGAATTGAGGAGAGAATGGAGGCATCGTCAGCTGCCGATGACGGCAAGGAGGCCAAACGCGCTGAGAGGAAGCGCAAGATGGATCAGCTGGCTGCCAAGATGCGGGCGAAACAAGGGAAGGCGGAGGATGACGATGATAGCGGCGGGGAGCAAGGCGAAGGCGATGAGGATGACGACGGTAGCTATGAGGAGAGGCCCAGGCGCAGACCACACAGAACTGCCACCGACGCGCCCAGAAAGATGGGCACAGCACAGGTATGAGCGGCACGACATCGATTCATTAATTGTCCTTTGTTTTCTTTGTATCACTGCATCAGTTTCTATCGCACGGCAACGACCTGAGGCGCAAACGCAACGAGGAGGAGGACTGCTATGGCGATGATGACGATGACTTCATCGATGGTACGCACAGTGAATGGACGCCATTGCATATGCACTCATGGACGCTGTGGTTGGTTCAGATGACGATGATGCCATCGAGTACCACGATAGCGAAGAGAAGAAGAAGCGCAAGAAGCGTGGCGGCAAGGCGAGGGAGAAGCGCCGCGCCGCCACGACCAACAGGGGCGGCCGGCTCAAGCAGAAGAAGCGGCGTCGGAAGGACAGCGACAGTGAGGACTCGTCGTCAGGGGATAGCAGCGATGAGAGCGGGGAGAGCGGGGGCGAGGAGGGCGAGGAGGGCGAGGAGGAGGGAGAGAATGATGATGACGATGTGGATGAGAGGGCCATGTACATGCGGTCGCTGCATGAGGAGCCCGACAGGCGCAGGGGGGGATGTGATGAAGACATCGACCCCAGAAAGGCGTTCAAGAGGTACACCCACTGGCTTCCATCCACATATGTGATTGATGGGCCTGTCTGTCCGCTGTGTGGTGTGTGTAAGGTACGTGGAGTATCTGTGTCTGCTCACGCTGTCGCCCACATTCGACTACGACGCATATGAGAAGCAGCTGCAGCAGGAGGAAGACGACGATGTCGATGGTCAGCCGCTTATGCTCACATATGACTTATGCATAGTGTGTGTTGGCCATGTGTGGGTTGGCGCAGATGAGAATGATGCACCCAAGGGTCGGGCGTACTACACAGTAGCAGAGCAGCGCGTCGAGGACAAGCTGCGCACCCTGCAGCACTCGCAGCTGGAATCACGCTTCACCAAGGACGTCACGGACCGGCTGTGTCGCCGACCGCAATTCTTCTACTACCAATTGGGCCGCGCACAGATTGACCGCCTGTAAACAAACACGGCTCAAGAGAGGCAGGCCTGGGTAACACTGCATTCATTCACGAGAGCGTGGCCGCCCCTTGTGTGTTGTGTGTGTGTGTGCAGGAGGGAGATGCGTGAGAAGTGCGTTGCCTGCCACCGTAGCCGGCCGCCTCCCAGCCGCAGCATCCTCATGAACGGCACCCAATACGACTCTGGTGGGGCAACTGACTGAAGCCAATAAAGCTCCATACATGGATACACACACTCTGCTTTTCTGGCATGTGCGTGGTGCGTGTGTGCAGAGGCGCTGTGGGAGGGCGACATTCGTCCGTTCATGGGCAGGCAGAGCAGAATGAGAACAAGACCACTGATGCATCCAACAGCTTCCATTGCACCTTTGGTATTTATTGCTGCAGAGGCTTTCCAGCTGCCGTGGCTGGGGCAGGCAGCATTCCCTGACGACCAAGGTAAGGCGTCCATCAGCCATCCATCCATCCATCCATTCCTCATTCCATCCGTCAGACCCCTTCAAGTCCGACGATGGTGAGGGCGATGCCATGGACGGTGCTGGTGACCCTGCGACCATTGCATACCCCTTCTACACCCAGGGCGCACGCTACTCAAACCCATACGACATGCAGAGTGAGTGGGCTGCGTGTGGTGTGCATCCATCGACCTTCCCACCCATCCGTCCGTCGTGTGGCTGTATGCCTCTGCAGACGAGTACACGCATGTGGCTCACCCAGAGGACAACGCAGAAGATCGGATGCTCGTCGGTGAGTGAGCCAAACACCAATCCACCGACCCACATGCAGCCGCTGTGTCTGCGTGTCATTTCGTTCAGGGTCGACGTGTGGCGACCGCATGAGACGGTGGCACTACCTGCAGCACTACAAGGCCAAGCTGCTGTGGAAGATACACACCGAGCTGGAGAGCATGTCGTCAGAAATGCGCAAGAAACCTCTTAGCGCGGCCAAGACCGTCCGCACGGTAGGCAGCTGAATGGATGGATGGGCGGCACACGGAAGAAGACACACCACCCCGCACATGATATGTGTCTGTGTCTGTGTGTGTGTGTGTGGTGGGTGTAGTCGCATGGCGAGGATTGGTGGAAGGAGTACGAGGCGTACTGTTCATTTGGGGCGGAGCATGGCGAGAAGGGGCAGCTTGCCACCGACACATGGATGGACGCATGATCCAGTTCTGTAGCTGACGGGGCAGGCGTAGCATTCATGCATTCATGGGACAGGCATGTGCGATGCATGCTTCATGCCATCCATCCCGGCAGTGTCTGTCAATATGTATAGTTGGTTCACGCATATATCGATCACACACCTCCAGCTGTACAGACAGAGTAAGCTAACGGCAATCAATCGAAAACTATGCCCCACCATGCCTGACGACACAAACAAATCGGACCAGACATTCACATGACTTGCCACTCCTCTCTTTCACAATGTACAACTGTGCTTGTCACCCACTCACCGGTATTGGTTGTCTCCCTCACTGCTGATACAACGCCCACATCTCGATGTCGGTGGCGGTGAAAGAGATGCTGCCCGCCAAAGTGCCCTTGCCCTCACGCTCCTCCGGCCCTCGGTACCCCTGCGGCAACCACTCCTTACTCACCCACACGTTGCAACGATGGAGGTTCTTTTCTCGGCCGCCACTGACGCTGTGCCCCAGCCAGATACAGCCCACCCCGTCCCCCACATTGATGGCCAGACTGCCATTGGCCTGATCGGTGGATGGCACCACCGCCTCGCTCCCTGCGATGAACACAGCCTGGTCGCCTGCAGGTAGGGGTATCTTGGTGGGAGTTTCGAAGGCGCCGCTGATGCTGTAGAGCGACACGGGGCAGCTGGTGATCGTGTATGATGTGTTCGTCCGGCTGTGTGAGGGAGCCCTCGATGGTAATGGCGAGGAGGTGGCTCTCGCCGTGGCGAATGAGGATGAGCGGGCGGCCGTCTTGTCGCTTGAGGAACTGTCGATACTGCCAGCCGTGACGTGACGCCCTGAATGAAGGAAAGAAGGCGCATGTCAGTCATGTGTGGTGTGTTGTGGTCTCAGCACGTACTCACTTGTATCGCAGGCTCATGCTGCTGAAGTATGTGAAGCCGTTGAGCCGTCAACCAACGGCGCGTATGTCACTATGTTGGGATCCTGTGTGTAACACAACAACACATGTATGTGCACATGCATGACGCACACACCCTTGTCTGTCTGTCTGTCTGTCTGTCTGTCGCATCTCCCTCACCGATCCCTCCCTGCACAGTTGAGATGCGATGCGCTTCAGCTTCACACACGAGCTCTGCACACACGACACACACCACAAATAAATGAGATGCCCCACATGGAGTCAAAGCACACAATCAATGAGAGTCCTTACACAGGGGAGTATGGCGAGATTTCTGTACATTCGACGCTGCATGAGGTACATCTGCCGTCCTAGGTTCCCCGTCTTCGACGCCAGCTCTTGTTCGTCATCATGCAGATCGACTTGGATGCGCGTCATGTGATCGTCCTGGGCCTGCTGCTCTCCCTGCAGCTCACCGATGAGCAAACCATAGCTCTGCAAGCAAACAGACAGCAGGAGTGTGGTCACCGATCGCATCCATCCATCCATCCATCCATCTGGACATACTTACCTGTACTTGTTGCTTGAGTGCCTCCGTCTCTTGCTCAAGTGCCTGCCGAGCAGCGGTCTCGCGGTCCAGCTCCCTCTTCAACAACCCAGCCACCTGCACACATACACACACACACCACTGCACCGTAGACACTGTTGGTCGGTGCACCAAAGTACCATGGTCGTATGGTCGAGGGCTGCCTGCTGCCGCTCGAGCCGGTCCTGCATGCGACTCAGCCGCTTGTGATACGCCGCCTCCGCCGCGACCATATCTACAATCCTCTGCATACAATGAATGGATCAGAAGCACACATGACTCCTGACATCCATCCATCCATCCATCCATCCATCCATCGATTCACCTGCTGCACCTGGCCCAGCGCCTGCTGGATGTCAGCCATGCTCAGGCCATCACAATCACCACCCTGCCATGAGGGAACCAAAACGGGGAGGCCATGTGTCCCTCTTCTGTCGGCCGCCGTCGTTTTCTCTTGCTTGTATGCTTACCGCAGCTGTTGTCGATTGACATCCGGACCCCATGCCGCTCTCCTCCACTGCCTTCGCCGCAGATGCACCGAAAGCCAACCGATCCGATCCGGCGCAGGATGAGCGTGCAGCCTCGTGCCTGTGCGCCGCATCCATCGGAGGTAAGATGTGGGGAAGGACGACAAACACCGCTTCTATGGTCCATCCATCTGTGTTCTCTCTCTTTGCAGATGTGTGACGTTGACGATGAGATTCGTGCGGTCCAGCAGGAGCTCAATGACGCCAACGAGCTCCTCAACACGTACCGCTCTGTCCCATCCAGATCAGCAGACCATGAAGAGCAGCAGCAGCAGCAGCCCGCCCAGCCATTGCCCACAGATCACGATGCCCAGCCCGGACCGCTCCCCCCGTCCATCCCTCCCCTCTCCCTGCCCATCGCCACCAACCCGCCAGGACACGGCAGCAGCCAGTGGTCATTATCATCTCGGCTCGACACCGCCCTCAGAGACCGCGACAGACTCAGGAAGGAGCGGCAGCGTGTCCGCGATGAATGGCTCAAGCAGGTGCGGGCCCAGTCGGTGCGTGAGGAGCGGCTCAGGGCGCGGCAGAGGGAGCTGACTGCGGCCATGGGCGAGCTGGAGAAGAAGCGGTGGGCTGCGGTTGAGAGGGGCAGGCGTGAGGAGGCCAGATTGCAGAGCAAGTTAGCCAGATTACGCCGGGAGAGGAGGGTGGAGGGGGCCGCCGCTAGTGACCAAGGGGATCCATCGCAATCTGATCAGCACCAGCAACACCAGCAGGGGCATGATGAACAGAAGCGACGTGAGCATATAGATGTTTGGCTGGCTAGACATTTCATTGCCTGCCTGGTGGTGTGGATGTCAGCTATCTCATTGCATTTCCTCTTCTGCCTGTGTTCAGGCCTTGAAGAGGAGCTGAGGGCCAACGAGGCTGCTCTCGCGGAGATGCGCCAAGCACACACAAGACAGCAGGAGGAGCGCCAAGAGCAGCTGAGGACAGTCCAGAAGAACATAGAGGCCCGCATGGGCAAAGTGCGGTCCGCCGAGAGCTTCCTCACACAGCTGAGATGCGAGTACGTAGTACGGCAGGGCCGAGCAAATCGTAAGTGTCAAATGTGTGTGTGTGGTTGTGGTATCAGGCATGCAATCGTCGGTCGACAGATGGAGCTCATGGAGGCCGTGCGCAACACACAGCTGCCGCAAGAGTTTGCCGAAAAGACAAAGGTAGGTCAGGCAGGGTGGATGGCCATTTAGCGCCCGTTCCCCTTGTTACCTGTTTCCACTAGGTGTTGGCGAGGGCCATATTAAGGACGCGCGACGGAATAGAGGAGGCCACCGCCGCCATGCGAGAGCTCCAGAGCACGGCAAATGATGCAGACGATCGTGATGACGAGCTGGCCCACTTGGCGACCACACTTGAGCGGCGCAGAGGGCAGCTGACACACCTGGAGTCACAGTAAGTGACCCACATACACATAAGGCATCCGCAACGAACCCACCATCATCCCTCTCCCTTCATCCATGCCATGCAGGCTCTCAGAGCTGGAGAGTGACCGTGCTCAGCAGGAGCAGCTGATAACCGATTGGCTCGCAACAGCCCGTACCCAGCGCGACAAGATCGCCACGTCGTTCCCTATCCACTCACAACGGCTGAGAGGGCTCACGGGCAACGAGGTGGCAGGCGAGTGCGGCACTCTGCAGGAGGCTTCCACTGCTTCGTTGAGGGGTTTGGAGGGGCTGAGAGAGAGGCTGGAGGGGGAGGGGAGGGAGGCCAATGGGAGATTCGAAGACCAGCAGGGAGAAATGGAAGCGGTAGGGAAGACAAGACACGAGGGCATCAACCCATTGCTCCCTGTTTGTCTGTTGCGATGTGTCTGTCCTGGATGGTCCAGGTGATTGGGCAGATCCGGTCGTCCATAGCTCAGGAGGCGCAGCAGCAGCAGCAGCAGCAGCAGGAGGCCCCACCTGCCCCACCCAGGCGCCCCCTCAGCCGGCAGAAGATCCAGACATCCGTGAAGACGCTTTGGTACGGCACTCATGCCTACCCCCAACAAACACACACATGCCAGTCCCCTTCCCCTTTCTTCAGCTCTCGGTCAGTCCGGTCCACGTCGATGAGCGATGACAGCCGGCCCTCGTCAGCATTGTGTGCAGCCATCCAGCAGTGTCGTGACGACCTCAGGAGATGCCAGGATGGTACCAAGGACGCCATCAAGGCGCTGAACGATGAGGAGGCGCAGCTGAGGGATGCACTGGCACAAGTGGACAAGGCGCTGAGACATGAAGGCGGAGCCAGACGACGAGAGTGTGAGAAGGTGAGCGTGCGGTGACGACGATAGACGAGACGGACGGTAGGGACCCGACTTGTGTGTATGTGTGTGTCAGGATGGTCGTTTGGAAGACCTGGATCTCCAGCTGCAGGAGGTGGAGGCGCAGCTGACCTCCCTCAACCCCTCTGTATCCCTCCCCGCCTCGCACCGACCACCCAGGTCCTCTCGGTCGTCACACCAGCCGTCCTCACGCCCCTCTGCCGCCCCTTCCCCATTCCCGCCCCTCTCTGCCCTCTTCCATCCGGGCATCAACAGCGACTTCGCAACCTTCCTGTCCAGTGTCTATCTGCTCCTGGCGGATGAGGGCGTGCCCGTGTTGGTCGATACCAGCAGCAGAGGTGGCAGCATCAGCAGCAGCAGCAGCAGCAGTAGCAGCGTCGAGTGGTCCGAGAGGCGGCTTCACTTGTCGCGGGACTTGAGGCGGCTGTCGTGGGGTGGAGAATCGTTCTGGCTGGTGGATAGCCTGGAGAGAGTGTATGTGCCGCAGAGCGTCCGGCGGCTGGTGGAGGCCGCCAGCCTCGACGCGGCAGCGAGGCCCGTGATCCGGGAGGTCGGTTCAGCCATCGATGGCGCCAGAGTGACGACAGCACGACGGAGAGAGGGCGAGCCGAGAGCGGCATACCGTGTGCAGGTACGCATTTCATCCCATCCACACACGCACACACGACCGTCCGTGTCCGTCCGTCTGTGTCTCTGTGTGGTTGGGTTGTCAGCTCCACTGTCGGTCCCACGCCCCCGTGTGGCTGGCCACTGACGCCATGTCGGATTTTCACATCGTGACGCGGGCCATCAAAGCCCTGCTGGCCGCTGTTGGTCGTGGCGGGGGCGATGGTAACCCAGGCCGATTCCAGGAGGGGCCGCGGCTGGATGAGTATCGTCTGCTAGTGGACAGGGCGCTGTTGCAGGCGAGAATGGTGACTATGGTGCCACCACTTAGGGAGGGAGAGGGGGAGGGGGAGGGGGAGAGGAGTGGCAGCAACTGACCGACATATACCTGCGTATGGGATATGCTTGGGTGTGGGTGTACAGTTCATTGACCTGTGTGTGCAAATGACGTGGACCAACATGATTGCTCGTTAACATTCTGTCCACTTGTTGGCTGCCAATCATCTTGAGTGTGATGTCCACACACAAAGGACGTACGCTGACCTGACACCCTCTCCGTCGGCCACTGGACGCAGCGGTGGTGGGCACCCTCACGGACAGAGTGAGAGCTTCACACTGTCCGCAAAGGTATCCATACCGCCGGCAACACCGGCCGACGAGAGAGAGAAAAAGTCAAAAGACATACAGAACCCACGAGCTCATTCCCCTCTCTCTGTCAACTGGCCTTGTTGGCTTTGATATAGGTAAGCGTCACACAGCTGTCCCATCCCGCAGTTTCCCCTCCATGTGCGTCCGCTCTCGGCGCGACATAGCCCACAGGCCAGATGATGTCTGACCGACCTGTGCGCTCGACACGGAGAGAAAACATCTCTCAGGTTTATAGAGACACAAAGACAGGTATACATCAACACACAGAGCAGAGCGGTGCAAAAACTCACTCGCCGTCGTCTCATCTATCTCATTACACACTGACCGCATTTGGCAGAAAACGTTACAGCAAACTATGGCCACCCACCAGTCCCATCAGTCAGTCAGTGTGTGCCATTGGTGGCCTCAGCACCAGCATCGGCATCAGGCTCGGGTGCGGCATCTTTGATGCGATTGTAGAGGTCGGGGTCGCCCGTGGCGATGGCGCACACCTCCAGCACGTGGCGGGCTATCGCGGGGACACCCACCTGACACACACACACACACATAGACACATCCACACATAGACACATACACCATGGGAGGCGGAGGGACGCAACACACCATAATAGATGCAGATGCGTACGTACCATGTGTTTGCACTGAGCGAATATGGTGGGGCCGCCTTGCCGCATCTGATTCGCCTCCCTGTCCATCACCTACATTCATCCCATCCACAACCCATCTGCACTGCACATGTGGCTGGCTGGTTGTCCCTCCCGACCCTCTGTCTGTCCACTCACCCCCAGATCAGCCCCAACGGCTTCGGCGAGGTCCGTCTTGTTGATGACGAGTAGGTCAGACTGGGTGATGCCAGGGCCGCCTTTTCTTGGCACTTTGTCGCCGCCAGCCACGTCGATGACGTAGATGATGAAGTCGGCCAGCTCGCGGCTGAAGTTGGCGGCGAGGTTGTCGCCGCCCGACTCGACGATGACCATGGCGGGGTGGTAGCACTCGGTCAGCTCCTTGACCGCCTGAAGGCAAAGCACACATGTACACATCACATGGCTGGCTGGGATGGACGCAACGCACTCATTCATTGCTGCCAGTGTCAGCCTACCTCCATGTTGAGGGCATAGTCTTCACGGATCGCTGCGTGGGGGCACCCACCGGTCTCAACCTGAGAGAACGCATGGCATGGCGTGGCGTCACACACACCCTCCCTCCCTGGCTGCACACATACGGCTCTCATTCGTTCCTCCGGGAGCGCCTTGTTCTTGACGAGGAACTCCCAGTCCTCCCGCGTGAAGATGTCGTTGGTCACCACGGCAAGGGACACCTGCTGCGACAGATACCGACACAAAGCCAGCACCAGAGCTGCAACACACACACACACACACACACACACACAATGCAGCCCGCTGTGTGGGTGGGTGCCGTGCATGGTACGTGCCTGTTTTGCCCGACCCCACAGGTCCGCCGATGCCCACGGTGAAGGCGCGTGCCGACCAGTCCCTCCTCGACAGAGGCCCGTCCCGGCTCAAAAACTCCCCAGGACCCTCCATGTGCTCATGCTGCACACAGCCAGCCAACCAAACACCACACGAGTCACGGAGATCTGTAGATCTCTCTTCCCCAATGAGTCCGTACCTACCGTGTGTCCATGTTCGTGTGAGTGGCTGTGCGCGTGGCCGTGGGTGTGGCTGTGGTTGTCGTCGGAGCCGTGATGGTGGCCGTGGTCCATCGACCCGCTTTGAATGAAGGGCACCTGCGACCAGAGGAAGGAGGCGATGAATGAATGGATGCGGGTGAAGGTACCTCCGCCATTCGACTCATCCCTGCCGCTCACCTTGCCATGGTCATTGGCGGTCTGCATCTGTTGTGTTCCTCTCCCCACATGCGAGCTAAGCTCGCAAACGTGGTGCGTCAGGTGAGCATTGATCCATGGGCAATACGCTGCCGAGCTCATCTGGCAGCCGCGGCTACGAACTCGATGTCCGCACCTTTCTGTTCGAGTACCCAGATGTGGTCTTCCAGAACCTCCTCGCCTCCAACCGGCTCTTCCGCGTCATCCGCTGCCTCCACGAGACCGACGGACCGGTCGTCGTCAAGCTCTTCGTCCGACCGCCGGAACCGCTGCCCTCGCCAGGGCCCGACAAACACCATCTGCCGGAGGATCTGGAGCAGATCCAGCAGCAGCTGCTCGCCATCAAGAGCGCATTCTCGCCGCAGATCCATCCCAATGTGTTCCCCTTCCAGCGGGTGGAGCTGTCCGACCGGTCCGCCTGCCTCGTCCGGCCGTTCTTCGCCCACAACCTCTACGAGCGGTTCCACACGCGGCCGTTCCTGACGCCTCTGCGGCTGCAGTGGGTGGCCTTCCAGCTGCTGGCCGGTCTCTGCCAGGCGCACTCGATGGGCGTGTCGCACGGCGACCTCAAGACGGAGAACGTGCTGGTGACGTCGTGGCTGCACGCTTACCTGGGCGACTTTGCGTCGTTCAAGCCGGTGTATCTGCCCGAGAACGACCCGGCGCTCTTCTCGCTGTTTTTCGAGTCGGAGAGCAGAAGAAGATGCTACCTCGCGCCAGAACGGTAAATGGTGAAAGGGACACAGACGACACACATGCCAGCAGAGGGCCCAGTGTGTGTGTGTGTGTGTCAGTCTGTATAGCTCTCCCCAGGAGCTTAAGAGCTTCAGCCTCTCCCTGTCGGCCCGTTTGCGGATGGATGTCTTCTCGATGGGCTGCGTGCTCGCCGAGCTCTTCTCCGAGGGCACCTCCGTCCTGGACCTTCCCCAGCTGCTGCAGCTGCGTGCCAACGCCCTTGACCCCACCAACTGGCCCGCCGTCACGCGACTCACAGACGACACCGTCCGGGGCCTGCTCGTCCGGCTCATGCTGCAGAAAGACCCCGCTAAACGCACCGACGCGATAGCGTGCTTCGAGGCCTTCTGCAGGGACGTCTTCCCCAGGTGTTTCATGACGGTGCTCTTCCCTCTGTATGTGTTGCTGCTGCACCCGCTCTACCAGAGCCCCGACATGAGGGTGGCTCTGGTCCGCGAGAACCTGCCGGCCATCTTGGAGGGGCTGCTGGGGGCTGAGGGCGGGGCGAGGGAGGAGATCCGGCAACGGGTGGATGAGCAGGTGCCGGAGATCGACGCCCTGACGACTTATCAGGTGTGTGAATGGATTTATGAGTACACGGACGGGAGGACAGTCAGTCGTGTGGACGGACGCGGCGTGTCTGGTTGTGTTGGGAAACAAATGCAGATCCTTCTCAATGCCGCATCGATCGCCCCCGCAGTGCTCGACAGCCGCATCCTGGGGGCAGCCTGGGCCAAGGAGCATACCACCAACAGCAGCGCAGACCACACAGACTCCCAGGACGGCAGCAAGGGCATGCGCGAGGCGTCACCCTTCCCACACCCAGTGCTGGACCAGGAGAGGGGCGAGGAGTTCTCCAGGCGGCTGGTGGACCTCTGGCGCAAGACCGGCAAGATGTTTCTGGATGCCGAGCAGTCCCCGGGCACCGCCCAGCCGATGGCCCGTGACGCTGTCGACGCCGCCAGGGCATCCCTCTACGACGTCTTCTTCCGCCCCTCCCAGCCCCACAACGCACCACAGCCGCCGCCCCCGCCCCCCTCTCTGCACGCGAGGCCGTGTGTGTGCCCAAAGGACGACACCGTGACCATCCTCGTGGGTCTGCTGTGCTCGTGCGTCGCCCACGTCAGCTCGCCCCGGTGCCGCGCAGTATGTGTGGGAATGCTCCGGTGCCTGGCGCCCTACAGCACGTCGCCCTGCCTGCTGGAGCTGACCATTCCCTGCGTACTGCAGCTGCTCAACGACCCTGTGGGCGTCATCCGTGCGGTGACCGTCGAGTGCGTGTTGGAGGCGGTGGGCCAGGTGGAGGAGGTGCCTGCGGGGGACGCCCACCTGATGACCGAGTACGTCTTCCCCAGTCTGCTCAACTGTGTGGCGTCGCCGCAGCTGCTCGACGGCACCATGAGCGGGCCGACCAGTCTGCAGCTGCAACCCAACTTTGAGCCATCGCTGCGCCGGTCTTTGGCGCGGAGTGTGGCCGCTCTAGCCAAGGCGGGGGTGCTCTTCATCGAGAAGGAACTGCAGCGGAGGTCAGACAGACAGTGGGTGGGGAGATAGGGAGAGTGCGCGTGTGACACGTGTTGTGTGTTGTGGTGTGTGTGTTCAGGAGTCGGCTGAGCAGCTCGACCCCCAGTGCATCGGCGGCCGTGGCGGAGGAGAGGACGGATGCCGCCGCCAACAGCGACACCTTCGACGGTATGCAGCAACCTACGTGGTGTGTATCATTTCAATGTGTGTGTGTGTGTGTGTTGCAGGGCGTTTGGCCCAGCTGCGTGAGCTTGTGAGGCAGCTAATCCAGGGCCTGCTCGCCGGGGACGACCCCAACGTCAAAATAGCCCTACTGGAGACGGTGGGTGAGTTGGCGGAGTTTCTGGGTCGGAAGGAGGCGCACAACTTCCTGCTGCCGTACCTGATTACCTTCATGAACGACCCCCACGGCAGCGTCCGTGCCCACTTCTGCGAACACCTCCCGGCCGTCGCACCCCTAGTCGGCGCAGTGGCCGTCGAGGGATTCATCTACCCCTGCTTCGACCAGGCCCTCATCGACCCTGAAGAGGAGGTCAGTTCAGCCGGGAGACCTTCTCTTAAAGTCTTTCGTCCGAGACACGGCACAGAGTGCGTGTGGTGTGGTGTGTGACGGGTGTGGTGTGCAGGTGGTGGAGGCGGGTTTGAAGGGTTTGGCGTCGATGGTGTCTCAGAAGCTGTTCCGGCAGAGCCGCATGCTGAGCATCGCCAGGAGCGTGGCGCCGCTGCTGCTGCACCCCTCGTCATACCTCCGACAGGCCGCTTGCACACTCATGCAGGCCATCGAAGTATGCGAGAAACACACAGAGACGCACGCAGGCAATCACATGGTCGATCCATCCATTGATTTCTCAGGTGGAGCTGTCTCCGGCTGGGAGTCTGGCGCTGCTGTACCCGCTCATCCGTCACGTGCTCACCAAGCGGCCGCCTTTCCCCACACACGGCGCGCTCGAGCGGTACCTCAAGCCGCCTGCCTCACGGAAGGCCCTCTTCCGAGCCGTGCAAAGTAAGCTACCTACCAGCACCCAAATGGACACAACCGCTTCGGTCCACTTGTGTGTATGTGGTTCGTCTGTCCGCCCATCAGCCATTCGCGAGGAGATGTCTCAGGGCAGCGTGCGGCACACCAATGAAGAGGGAGCCACACAGCCACAACCCGCACCAGCAGCAGTCACGGATCAGGAGCTGTCGGCGAGTGACAGGGAGGCGGTGGAGGTGCTGCGGCCCTTCCTGCAGGGGGTGCTGACCCTCCAGAGCTCGCGCTACCCCAATATGCACCTCTACGGCGTTGGCGGCATGTCCCCTCTGCCCGGCAGCAGCCACTCGGAAGGGGACGCACGGACCACATACGGCATGAGGACGGTGTCTCGTGTGCCCCCGCACACCCTCCCCTGCGTGCAAGCCTCCCCCCTTCACGCCAACTTCCCCACACGCGTCCGAGCGGAGCTCGATGACTTCTGCCGCATCCCACCACACACGCCGGCAGCAGCATCTGACCACACCTCGCCCCCCACCATCCCGCCCTCTCTCCCATCCACCCCCTCCCTCCCGCCATCGAGCGAGCCCACCGAGCGGCCCGCCGCGGCCCCTTTAGCCAACGTCAAGGCCAGCACACGGCGGCCGCCTTGTGTCGACGAGAGTGGCAACTGGATCGACTGGCGTCTCGACTCACTGGAGGCGCCCACACCTCCTCTGGACCTGGGCGTCCTCACCGGGCTGGATGGGTCGCCCTACTCGCTGTATGCGCACCTGCCGCCCCCTCCATCCCACCCGCCCCCGCCCCCCACCAGCCACCCACACAGGGACAGCGACATGTCGACAGCCGACGGCCGGGGGCCGTTCGAACGCGCGGCGACGGCCGGGGTGGGCTGGTTTGTGTCCACCAGTGGCGACCTTCTCTACGATTGGGACGGTGAATTGGACCCATCTGAACGGCCGGGAGAGAGGTCAGTGTCTGGCCCTTCGCCGCCTTCCCTCATCCCCGGCATCCCGGGGTATGTGACGGCCCCATCAGAGGGGAAGGAGGCCCGCGAAGCTGAGGGGATGCTCCTCTCGCCCGTCTCACACGCATCACAGCCTTTCTCTCTTGAGATCGGTGCGCCGTCGATCAGCGGCGCGATGGCTGGGGGCAGCATGGTGGGACTGAGCACGTGGCGGCCCCAGGGGCTGCTGGTGTCGACTCTGTACGAGCACGAGGGCGGCGGGGGGTGTCCCGTGACGCACATTGACGTGACCGACGACGGGCGCATTCTCGTCTCGGGCGGCGCCAACGGCCGCATGAAGCTGTGGAACTGCGCCTCACTGGAGAAGGACGTGAGCGTCACGTCAGTCAAGACGTTCGCCCTCCCCAGGGGCACCTCCCTGACCGCTCTGAGGACCATCCGCAACACCAAGGGCGCGGCGGTGGGCGGCTCTGACGGCATCGTCAGGCTCTACAAGCTCGAGGTGGCCAGGGGCGGGATGGCACACGAGGTCGCCGCCATCAAGACCTCAGCAGAAGGATCGGCCGGTGGCCAGCCCTCCACCTCTGCTCTGTCGATCGCGGCCATTCAGCACTTCGACACTGATTTCGAGAGTGTTGTGGTGTTTGCGACGGAGGGGGGCGTGCTGCAGGGGTGGGACCTACGGGCGCCCCCTCACAGGGAGACCTCACTGGGCTTCCACCTGACTACGCCCTTCTCGTGGGGCAACCTCTACTCGCTCTGCCTGGCCCCCGACAGCAGGTGGCTGTGCGTCGGCACACTCGGCGGCGTCATCGCCCTCTATGACCTCCGCTTCCTGGCCCCCATGCGCGTGTGGCGGCTGACTTCAGCGCTGCCCATTCTCTCCCTCGCACCGTGCCGCGAGCAGCTGCAGCAGGCGGGCGTATTCGCTGCTCTCGGTGGGGCCAACAACGAGGTGGCTCTATTCGACCTCGCGAATGGCCGGTGCGCCACTCTGTTCCGCACCAACGCGCCCAGCAGTGAGAGCGGCGAGGGACTGGGCAGCCAGGTGCCCACCCTGACGGACATCAGTGCTCTGGAGCTGTCCGCTTCCCCGCCATCCATCAACGTGACGCCGGCCAACCGGTCCCACGGGCTGCACACGCTCTCTGTGGACGTGATGCAGTCGAACCTCCGCCACGCCTTCCACTCGAGCCACAACGTCCGCAGCATCTGGGCGCCTCCCCCCTCCCTCCAGACATTCATTCTTGCCGGCGGAACGGACAGGAAAGTCCGATACCTCAGCCTGGAGCGGTGCACGAGCGACTCGTACGTCGTCATCGGGGGGCAGGGGAGCGGCGGGCGGGATGCAGCAGCGGCGTCGAGCTCATTTGCGTCCTATGCGGCGACCAACGTCGACAGCACTCTGGTGGTGCAGGAGTACACTCAAGGGGGCGGTGGTGGCTCGAGTCACGGAGGCGGATACGGCAGGCAGGACAGCGATTTGTATGGCGAGGGCGAGATGATGAACGAGGGCGGCATGGCGCACACCGGCCGGTTTGAGGGGCTGGGCGACGTGAGCGAGATGGGCCCGATGCCGCCGTCGCCGCATCACAGGGACGCCATTCTGGACGTCAGAGTGATGAGTCTGTCGAGCCATCTGATGATCACTAGCGGGCGGGACGGGCTGGTCAAGATATGGAAATGAGTAGAGAAGAGGCAAGAGAAAAGGCGAGTAGGTTTGTGTGTGGCATGGATCCATAAGTGCACACTTGGGTGGGTGTGGTACGTGTTTGTTTGTGTTGCATCCATCACATCAGGGGGAGGGGCAGGGGGAGAGAGAAGGGGGACGCTATATGTCGTATCGATCGATCGCATTCATTCTTCCTTTGATCTGTGCAATGGCATGTCGGCTGGCTGCGTAGGGGGAGGCGGGTGGGTGGCTGCGTCTTTCTATCGCTCATTGCCCATGGCATATGCCTACGCATCGACACTGACATATGTAGAATATATATGCTGTATTTTGCGACCACTGCAAAGCGACGGAAAGACGAGCACGGTGCACTACCATCACTCTTTGCCTGCAGCAGCGCCCTGTCCACCAACAGCCGTGGTGCATACGAGAGAGGCAGAGAGAGAACAGAGGACATCGAATAGGAAATGCAGCCAGCGATGAAGACCTGATCAATGGGGCTTCACACATTGGTCGAGAAATTGGATGAGAGGCTGGTGGTTTCGGGCACCGAAGCGACCCGCCAGGATGCTTGAGTGCACACACCATCCCTCATTCGATCAGAGGGCTGTCTGTGTGTGTGTGTGTGTGTGGATGTGTGTGGTGGACACATGCACACACAGCCACCGACTGTGTGGCAGGTAGCTCGTTATGGATAATCCACGCCGTTGATGTGTCCCTTGTATGCAGCCGTCGTTGACAAAAGACAAAAATCCGTCCAACACATACACATACACACACACATCAAAGCACGAGGGGGGTTCTGTCAACAAAGAGAAGAGAGAGGGCTTCTGTCTGAGTCGTCGTGTCTTGTTCGCTTGTCCCTGCCACCCAACTGACATCACCGACATCATCGAGACACGACACGGAAAGTGATGCAGGCAGACCCTCCGTCTGTATCGCCTGGGATACCGCTCTTTTTGCCTCTGTCTGTGCCTGTGTCTGTGTCTGCGTCTGCGTCTCTGTCTGTCTGTCTGTCTGTCTGTCTGTTCGAGCCACCGTCAGTTCTTCATCACGTACTCGCCCACAGGTGGTCAAAAGGGTGGTGCAATGCCAAGTCAGAAAAACAAAGGAGTCAGGCGTCGCGTAGCCAACTGAACTGCCTGTGTGCCTAAACAGAGCCGAATGGAAGGAGGTCACACCCAACTACAATCCATCCATCCATCCATGTGGTGTGGATGGATGAATGAGCGTGTGTGTGATGGTGTGTCTGATTGTGTGTGAGTGTGTGTGCGTGAGTGAGTGTGCGGTGTGTGTTATGATATGGGGCCTCAATCCTTCCACACAGCTTGGTCGCCTCCATCCACCGCCGCCCTCGTGTCGTCAATCGCCGCACCCGATGCCGAAGTCAGCACCTGGTGGGGGACGCTCGACAGGTTCATTACCACTGCACCATCACACACACCAGAATGCAAAGGCGTCCTCGCACATCCAAGTCTGACAAGAACTGACCCCTTGGTGTTGTGTTCGTCATGGCTCCGCCGCTCGAGGCCGACGATGTTGAGACTGAAGCTCCCGCCTGCACACACACACGGACATTGGAATGTGCGTACCTATGTGGTGATGTGCTGTGCTGTGCTGTGATGCGATGCGATCTGATGTTCATCCGACTGACCACGGCGGCCTGCACCTGGGACTTGGCATAGGCCGGCACAGCCTGCATCAGGTCCGACTGCACGACAGAGACGCATATGTGACGAATATGTGTGGCTGTCTGTCCGTGTCTGTGTGCGGAGCCGTACCAGTGCCGGGAGCCCCGCCTGAGGCGGGGGCTGCAGAGGGCGATAAGGCATCGACACTCCCGCAGCGGCAGCGGGTGCAGAGCTCTTGGCCTGACGCAGGGAAATGGACAGTGGCGTGATGTGGTGCAAGTGGGAAGCGATGTGGGTGACAAAGGGGGTCTGTACGCGTGGACGCAGGAGTATCTTGGGTACAGCTTCGGCCATCGGAGAGTTCTGGAACGCGCCAACAAGCCCCTGAGTGCCATGACAGTAGGAGAGAGGGAGACACACATGCAGATTCGGTCATGTGCACACACACACTCAGAAACGTACCTGCATGTGTACGAGTGGAGGGGTTGGGGGTCGCGAGGGAGCCCCCGGCATGTGCATCGGCACAGCTGCAGCCGCCGCCGCCGCCTCCGACTGACACAGTCATAGGAACGGAGAATGCGTGTGCTGTGCTGTGGTGGGCTGAGGGTGGGATTCATCTATGTCTGGATGCCCATGCGCACCATAGACAGGGAGCTCCCGTACGAACTTGACTGACACACAGGGAGAGAAAGAGTGCATACGTCAGGTGGGGTGGGTGGGTGGGTGGAGCTCACTCACCATTGGACTCGTCGGCGCGAAACCAAAGCTCTGACACGGTTCAGAGAAAGAGAGGGACCGCCTCAGTGTATTGGGGGAATGTACCTGAGTTGTGTGTGCTGGCGAGTGCGATATTGACGAGGGCGGGCGAGACGGGGCGCCCGCCGACGCCGACAGGGCCTTGGCGCCACCTCCAACCATACCATTCTGACACAAAACACGCAAGCAAACAGAGAGAGAGAGGGGGGGGAGAGATGAGCACGCCTTGTTCTCCACACAGATGTGCATAGAGTGCGTGGCGTTATACATTCATGATGCTACTGTCGCCAACACGGATCTCAACCTCAGGCATGCCCTGACAAGAGAAGAGAGATGTGTACGGTGGATACACCATCAAACCGTGCTGGGGGATGCTTACTGCTCCCGCGGCCCCCCAGTCCCCGCCGCCCCACTGGCCGCCAAGATCTCCCATATCACCCCATCCCGGATACTCGTCATCCCCGCCTCCCTGCTCCTCCTCTTGCTGCTCCTGTGGCGTCTCAGGCAACACACCAGGCGGCATTAGAGGCATCATCATATCACCACCACCACCACCGGCAGCCGCCGCCGCCTGTGTACACACATACACAAACAGCATCCGTCCTTTTCGTCCGTCTTTCACCCGCTCACCGTCGACATTTGATTGTTGTTGAAGCCGTGCGGCATGACGACCTGGCTCGATTGCTGCCGCTCCTGCACCGCCTGCGGCTGTACACACATCAACACGTGCCTGATGTGCCGTGTGCTCTCTTTGTTCGTTTCTCACGTGCTGAGTGGGGGTGTAGGGGGGGTTGTGTGTGTGGGGGTTCGTGTAGCCTTGCGATTGGGACTGCCCAGCAAAACTGACCATGTGCTGGACAGCAACAGAGAGCAAACGACACCAACGCATGAATGCAGCCAGCCGTTATCCACATCCCTTGTCGATCTGCTGACCTGTGCCCCAGCCCCTGCAGGAGGGTGTGCTGCAAATGAGCTGGACGGGCCACCACCAAACTGAGACACACGCATGAATTTTCCAATGTTCCCCCCACGCCCACCCATCTTTGCCCACCATGGGAGACGATGCGTTTATGAAGGGTTCCTGCTCATAGCTGGAGGGGATTGATGGGAATGTCGGCGAATCGAACGCCTTCACACAACAGCACATATCAGCAGCGTCACACGCACACACACATGGATGTGTCCGTCTGTAGCCCCACCGGTGCAGGCGGGCGTGGCGGGGGGGGGCTGCATGGCACCGAACGGGTTCAGCGCCAACGAGTTCTACAGCAGGGCAGGAGCAAACAAAAGGACGGTTTGATTTGGACGGTTTCCCTTGCTGTTTCGCTGACCTGCGCAGTGGGTATCGAGTTGTTTGAACCGTTCATCGATCTGCTGAAACCATAGGTCTGCAGACAAACAACACACACACAGAGGGGAAGATACACGCAACACCCACGTGGCTGCGCGTATTCCCTCCCCGCCCACTGCCCTTGTTGCTTCGCTGACCGGTTCACTTCGTGGAGGGTGTCGCGGCTGAGACAAGCTGCCATTGGAGCCAACCATAGCCTGCAGACAAACAACACAGAAGGAGACACGCAACACATACATACAGGCATACGTGCGCCTTCCCTGCTGCTTCGCAGACGTGTGGGTTGGTTGGTCACCTGGTGAAAAGCCTAAGACGACACCACACACGACAAAGATGCAGCCGAGGTCCCCTGCATTCCTTGTTCCTCCCTCACCTGTGTCTGCATCTCATTCTGTGCCTGGTGACTGCCGCCCTGCATGATCTGATTCTGAGCCGGCCACAAGACACACGGAGGGAATATTGACGCATGCCATCTGTAGGGTCTGAGGGTCATACTGTGGCTGCAAAGAGCTCATTCTGATGGCGCCGTAACATGTCCGCAAACTCATGCTCATGGCGCCTCCGAGTCGTCATGATCTGGATCTGCTGAAACCTCCACTGATCCGTGGAACTGGCCATTGGATACGCCTGATGCAGAACCACCAACATTGCAATGCTCCCATCATCCATCGCCCCCCCCCCCCCCC